GACAGTAAAAGAAGAGCTCTGTGGCTTCAGGCTCGATCGCCGTTCAAATGACAGCGTTGTTTCCCCCAAAAGTGGGCGGGGCCGTAAAGTCACGTCGATGTTACTCATCTATGAAAATCGATAGCCTACTGCTATATTTAACCATATATCGAGCCCGATCGTTGATTTCTAATGGCTTAATGCAATTGTTTGCCTGTCTGGCCATTGGAATCGGGCTCTTTGATGATCCAAAAATCTCCGGTTTTCTTAAATTTCTGATCGGATTGGCAAAAACTTCAGAATTTGAATTGACAGCCGTTCAACTGACAGCGTTGTTTTCCCCCAAAAGTGGGCGGAGACGTTATTTTTGCACGGAAGTGACGCATTTGTTACTCTCATCTATTGAAGCCGTAGCACTGTAAAAAGCACGACCAATCATTTTAGCCGGGTCGGCTAAAATAACTGGATGGCCTACCTGCCTGTCAGCCTTCCATCTGTGCACACATTTATCTCGTGCCCTCATTGGTCATGTGCGCGTTCGTGTGTGTTGGAGGAGGGGCTCTGTAAGGAAGTCTGAAGGAAGAGGCAGATTTTTTCCGGTTGTGTGCTTTCAAATTCTAGCGCACTCGAGCTGGTTTCTCCATTCTTACCTACCCTACCTTTAAGTGGGCCCTGAGTTTAAAAAGGTTGGGAACCGCTGACCTAGAGCAGGGGTGGGAAACCTGCGGCCCCCGGGCCGTATTCGGCCCGTGAGACAATTTGGTGTGGCCCTCGAGGTAATTTATAAACACACGCAAAAAAGAAAAAAATTAAACAAGCGATGCCTGTTTTTCCTGGCCAAGGTCGGGATCCTTGAACACAACACGAGCCTAACGTGTCATCACGTGGTATATGTCTCGTCTGACAAGGGAGAGCACCAGAACGTCGCTCCTGCACTTCCAAACATTGCAGTACCAATAAGGAGCCGTACACATGCCGCAGTTTTTGCGTGGCTGTGTCTTAGTTGTGTAAGCCGAGTGGCGATCTGTTCATCTGTCATACTGATCATACATACCTCATTCACACCAACGGTGTTTCAGGGCCGGTTCGGAGCTCGAGCTTGAAAAGCACCGGGTTTTCCTCTTCACACCGCAGCGGATCAGCCTCTTAGCTCCGGAATCCGGTTCGTTTCAAGCACCAAAAAATGGTCCGGCCAGAGCAAAAGCACCACATACGTCACGCTTACGTCGAGGCGGGGGCAGAGACAGATCAACTCCTGAACAACAACAAAAAGCCCGCGTTTTATCCAGTTTGTACACAACGATGGAGAAACTTAACAAGAGTTTCAGAGTTTCAGTGATTCTGCCATAGACTGTATATATAAAGGTTTCTGCTCATGGTGAAGCAACGTGTCTGCGTGTTAAGGTGGAACCTGAGCATTCACGTTGATCACCTCTCATTATAAATCTATAAAACTATAAATATTCAACTTTACTTCACGTGTTCATTTGAGAACAGCTGTTACATACCTGGGTGAAGGTTACAGTTCATTTAAATGAAAGATACAACGTTACTCCACACTCATGGTTCAGTCCACCTTAAGAAATAAGACCGACCTCGGAAGCAGTTGTGTTTTTAAAAAAACCTTTATTGACACGAGTACACTTTTTTCTAAGAATATAACTAAACCACAGAAATGACTCCGGAAAAGCTGCAGATAGAGCCATAAGAAATGAATGCAACTGATTTCATCCGCGCAGTTTGGCTATATGAAGCAGGCACGCAAACGGTTACGTCATGACGCAAACGATGACGCAACGACGCATTACCAGTCGGACTCTGGGCGGTGTGAAAAGAGCCAGAGCTAAACCGAAGAACTGGTTCTGAACCTGAAAAACTCTAGCACGGAGCTTGAACCGGAGTTGCATTGGTGTGAATGAGGTATCAGTCAATAACTTTGTTGTTATTAGCATCTGGTTAGCTAGCTATGCTAACAAATATAAGAAGCTTGTTCTACAACCAGTGAGGTAAAGGCACATCTTTATATGATCATTATAGTTATACAAAAATAAGAGAATAAAGTAAACAGGTATAAAATACTATATGATGGTAACAAAAAGTTGTTATTAATAAACAAGAATACAGTTTGAAAGGGAAGTGATTTGTAAAATATCCATAAAGAAAAATAAATCTGTTTACAGTTCTGTTTCATATGGTTGTTGAGAGATGTATCCATAGATCTCTTAATGTTTTGGTGGTCATGCCACAACCGTGCACGTGCATGCATACGCGAGTCATGGTAAAATATCTGGATTATAAGGTTTCTTTTTCTTTGCACAGCATGAAATAAAGGTGAAATGAATGGGCTGTGATTTTAGTATTTTTAAGCAGAGGTCAATAATTTGTACGGCCCTCGGAGGATGTTGAAAAAATTGAAATGGCCCTTGAGAGGAAAAAGGTTCCCACCCCTGACCTAGAGGGTTAAACGCCTGGTTGAGAAAATGATTACACATAGTAGCAGCTTATATTATGATAAACTGTGACAATAAATGATTTGAGTTTATGAATCTTGCAAAAGCCTGTTGAGATCATATGAAGTTTTGACTACATATTTTAACAATAAATATAGGTATCTCTGTGACTTTGTAGCAATCTGGTGTCATACCAAAAATAGTTTTGTTTATATATACAGTCTATGGTTTTGACCCATAGGCCTACTGGTGGCTTCACTTAGGCCCATTCCCAAACCCCTACACCCTACCCCTCCGTTTGCGCGTTCACGCGGAGGGTCCGCCATATTAAGTGCTGTTCCAAACCAACGAGTGTGGGCTATCAAGCCCTCAAACAGCGAGTCTGCATCGTCTGCATCGGTGCTGACTTGAGACCGGTCTCTACCTGACCGGAGTCATGCTGTGTGTGTCCGTCAGGAAACAAGCTGTTCACAAGTAGTTCCAGCAAACATCCACTGATAAATTGCGATGTTAACAACCTCTTGATAACCTCATATGTTTTAACTTAGGATCATACCTGTGTTTAGTCTAGAAAAAGGTAAATGTGTGCATTTTATTATAAAGTTGTGTATATTTACGGACTGTTGCAAAAACTAAGAAGCTTATATAAACATCAGGTTTAAAACTAAAAGAGCTTTACAAAAAAGTAACACAATGAAATATGTTTGTAGTTTTATTTGAGTTATTAATTTACATTTGTTGTCTAAGAGATGCTGATTTGAAACCGTTGTTAAATACAGTTACGGCATTTCCTGTTTCTGCCGGAGAGATGGGAGGCCGTCCCAAAGCTTGCTGCTGTATTTACTCCCTCCATCTGACAGGAGGGAGCCTCGTTGAGCTGCGAGTGTGGCTACAGACCAGACGGAGTTCACTCCGTCACGGAGGGGTAGGGTGTAGGGGGCGGTTTGGGAATGGGCCTGAGTCACAGTGCTGTCATGTGCATACAATGGCCCAATCCCAAACCACTCCCTCGACCCTACCCCTCCGTGATGGAGTGAACTCCGTCTGTAGCCACATTCGCAGCTCAACGAGTCTCCCTCCTGTCAGATGGAGGGAGTAAATACAGCAGCAAGCTTTGCCTCTCTCCGGCAGAAACAGGAAATGCCGTAACTGTATGTAACAACGGTTTCAAATCAGCATCTCTTAGACAAAAAGTTTAAATTAATAACTCAAATAAAACTCCAAACATCTTTCATTGTGTTTCAAAGCTCTTTTAGTTTTAAACCTGATGTTTATAAGCTTCTTAGTTTTTGCAACGGTCTGTAAATATACACAACTTTATAATAAAATGCACACATTTACCTTTTTCTAGACTAAACACAGGTATGATCCTAAGTTAAAAACATATGAGGTTATCATGCGGTTGTTAACATCGCAATTTATCAGTGGATGTTTGCTGGAACTACTTGTAAACAGCGTGTTTCCTGACGGACACACACAGCGTGACTCCGGTCAGGGAGAGACCGGTCTCAAATCAGCACCGCTGCAGACTCGCTGTTTGAGGGCTTGATAGCCCACTCCCCCTCCACACTCGTTGCTTTGGAACAGCCCTCAATATGGCGGACCCTCCGCGTGAACGCGCAAACGGAGTGGTAGGGTGTAGGGGTAGGGTGTGGTTTGGGAATGGGCCAATAACAATGCCAACATGATGTTTAGCAGGTGTGACGTTTACCATGTTCACAATGTTAGTTCAGCGCATTAGCATGCTAACATTTGTCCATCAGCACCTTCTTCAAATCAAATCAAGTTTTATTTATATAGCACATTTATAAACGATTTTTGGTCGAGCCAAAGTGCTGTAGGCCTACATATAATACAAATAGCCTACAGTAGAGACAGCACAGATTGTTCAGAATATCAGTATGAGAAAAACGACATCCTCTATCCTTAGACCTTCTTATTATACATCCATGATCAGCACTAAACATACTACAGCTGAGGCCGACGGAAATGTCATAAGTTTAGTTTCATTCACTTGCTATTACAAATGATCATAAAGGTAGAGGATGTACTGGCTTGAGAATTGTATCATTGTTAAAAGTTTTTATTTAGATACACTGACTAACTTGGTAACAGGGCTACAGCTGTTTTTAATTGTTTCTGAAATCATCAATCTGTACTTGGGTTTGCCTTTTATTATAACCTGTTGTATACTACAAACCCCAAATCATCTACAAGGTATATGTTATATAAACTAAAAAGACTTTGCATACAGCAGGCAGGGAATTTCCTCCATTTTGTCTACTATATCAAACCAACATCAGTTCAAGTTAATTAAGAGTAATTTCTTTTTTGTATTGCATCTTTTCACTGCCATGTTCTAAATAACCAATAAGGACTAAACTAAATAATTTTATTTTTCAGTGATATTCAAGAGTTTGCTTATTTTCATTGTTTGACTTTTTTTTTTAATCCATTCCTCTTTTGGACTCAAGTCACATTTGGCTCTGATTAAAAATAAATGTATAGTTGCCTCCCTTCTTCAGTTTAATGATATTAGCTTATTCTTGTTAATAAACAACAACCCGCATCAACAGTCCGGCCATTCTTTTATTGTGAACATATTTACAGAACAAAAGACAAATGAACACAAATCATATTTATATTAACAATAATTAACAATTTGAATAATGGACACTTTAATCTGTAGTGCACATTAAACCTCCCCACACCTCCATTTAAATGCGGTCCAAGAGTAAAACCATCTGCTGAGTAGACTCTTCTCAGTGGAGCTGTTCATGAGCCGCGAGCTGAAGAGTTCAGTGTTTCCTTTCAAAGCATCCTGGTTTAAACTGAGACATGGGTGCAGTTTATCTCTTTAATACTCCTCTTTAGAGGCTTGGGGACATGTCACATGTATCACTTTACATTTTATCTCATGAGTTTATTTAACTAGTGAAAGATTGTACACATAAAGCAAAGCCTGTTGGGGATGGTATGTACTCTCCATTAACAATTTCCCCTGGAACTGGAGTTCAGTGTAAAGGGTTTGATTTAATCAGTGTGTTGCCAATCTCAAAAATATCCTTCTATAAATAACTATGGCTTGAACTTTATATATAATTTATTTTAAAATATACTCTAGACTAGAGTTTTAATCTAACCAACTGAGCAAATAGTAGTCACTTGAGTCCTAGAAGTAACATAAGATGTTTTAAGTCAATCTCAAATGAATATCAGACCAGTGGTTCCACACTAAGGGGGTCACCAGATGATTGAATAAACAAGATATAATGAAATCAAAATGACCATTTGGTCAAACTGCTTTGTTAAATACTGAGCTTTAATGGTGCTAGCATGCAGGTTGTTTTACCGAGCCATCAGCTTCGCTCTCTTACAAGACTCGATGCAATGCAAAGGTAAACTATCCAGCTGCTTGCTACAAATGTAGGGCCAATACGTTTTGAAACCATTGTACTAGACCAAAATTATTTGAAAGTGAAAACCAAGTTAAATGTGATGAGGTTCAGTCCAAAAGGTGATGAATATGTAATGATTTTGCTGCATGTTAATATAATCACTTTATTTAATTGTAGCTCTGTTATTTCGGACTGAAACGTTTAACATGTGACTTCAACAAACAGCAACATTTCACGGTGAAGGTTCATGTTCTTATAACGAACATTAGAAAAATCCCCATAGTGACGTCCCACCCCCACCAACAGACAGGATCAGTGCAATTAACTCGACTCTCCAAATACAAACGTTGTTAGAAAATAAGTGCTGATTAGGCTGGATCAAACCATTTCTGCATGGCTGCATGTACAGCAGGTAGACATGTGCTCATACACACACACAAGCACACCTATTCACAAAGCTTTTCGTAGTAAACACACACACACACTCACACAAAGCAGCACAAAAATGGAGCATTTGCAGTTTCATTTAAAATATTTTCAACACTGATTCTAAAACTCAGAAGTGAAGTCCTTCTTTAAACTCATCTTTCCAAAATAACTCTGCTAGCTCTACCAGTACAAGTTAATTGGTCCCAGAGGCACATCAGCATGGCTAAAAGAGTTTAAAACAGGACAGTAAGGAGCGAGGAAAAGAATAGGATTGATTAAATATCTTCAATATATTAACGTTAAGGGCAGGATTGCTCAAATACAGTATCTGCACTGAAAAATCTGTCAAAAATATAGACTAGATCTAAGCTTTTTTTACTTGCCATTATATATTTCTTAAAAATAGATCCTTAGTTCAGAAATACAAACTTCAGCTAAGCCAGTAGCCAACAATATCACCAGAGGTAAAGCAGTTGCCAGAAGCTGCAATGGTAGGAAGGAACAATATCTTAGCTGGTTATAATCGTTTTCTGATCTACTTAGACCTCAAATATATTAGTTGTACCACAGAGGAACAAAGTGCCAAGAAGTTGCACATGTTACTGCAACATGGACAGTGTGGAATATTCCTGTAAGGCAGAGGGACTTTTCATTTACACTTTTCTTTAGAACAATTAAGTGTATATCTTTGTCCCACAACTGCCACAATGTGTTTGGTGATACTGCCAGTAGAGGTCACCAGAGTATCAAACTAAATAAAGTTACATTAGGAATGAGTTATAAACCTATCTGAACTTAATTCAATGAATGTTGTTTTTAAAGCCAAGTTTCTTTTTGCGATCTCTTTGAAAGACACTTCATTTTCATGGAAAATCAACTTAGGTCTTCTATTCAAAGTTACGCTGACTACCTCTATTCACAGAGTAACGTGCAAGTGTGAAAGGGGCTTAGCTTACACTAAAAGCATCTGAAAATCCACAGTAGCATTACTAACACAGCTGATGCCCGGATGTGTTTAAACCATCTGGAAGTCTATCAGATCAAAACATTTGTTTGCAGTATTGTCTCGCAGGCAGAGGATTAGAATGCAAAGGGAGGTGTTCAGTCACTACAATCATGGTCGAATTGTGCTCTTCTCTCGTCTTAGAGTTTATTCGGTTACCAGCACTAAGGCCCACCTCCCTCATCTTCTTGTTCCTCCATGTTTTTACGTGCCAGCCTCTCCCTCCGCTCTGCCAGCCGCTGACATCGAGGACAGTCTTTACCTGTCCGGAAGCAGTTTCGATGATAGCAGGCATGGCACTCTGTAGAGGGGAGAACAAAAACAAGAGTCAGAGATACAACACGTGTCATCTTTACAAGAGGAACCGTTTTTCATGGGAGCAGCTCCCATCGGCCAAACCAAACATTGCTGCAGTGTCCACAAACTTGAACCAGTAAAACCAGTTTCCCCAACAAGGAGATGTGATGTATCAACAGAACAGCCAATCACAATCAGACCTGATGGAGGCAGGGTAAGGAGGACAGTATAAAAGAACAGAAATGAAAGGCAGCGCAGCAGAAGGCAAGAGGAGGCTCGGTGTGAGAGGGCGGGTATCCTGGGAGACACACACCACACCCTAAACCTGCTCAGACACATCCCTTTTCCCCCAAAGGCCAACCGAGTGCTTTATAACCATTAGAAATGGACAGAAATTGTTTTGTTTGTTTTTCTAAAAATCTCTGATGATGGTGGGATGAAATGACAAGCAACTCAACTTCAAAAATGGCTTTTATTTGTTCAAAGGAAGATGAAACTTAAATAAAAGCAACTAAAATAATAAATAGACATTCATACTGACACGTGGAGGCACCTCATGTTAATGAGACATTCTTCCTTCAACAGAAAAATAAATAAAATACAAAATGGATAAAACAATAGGCGATGTTTCCTCTAAACTAGTAAAAGAGTCTGAATTGAAATGAAACATCTCTTCTGCTGATTTCAGAAGATGAAGTAGCATTTGTTTAGGATAAAATAAGACTCCTCCATCACCAACACCAGCCAAAGGGATCCACCACCACATAGCTGCCAAATATTTACCCTCCACCAGCCGAGCAACTGTTCAAACTTCAGAATCAAAGCCAAGAAATACCAAAAACCACCGCAGTGCACAATCCCGGTGCCAAGTGAAAGAGTAGAAAAAGTGTACTTAATGTGACAAGGCACAAGAAGGTCGAGAGGTAATGACAAGTCAAGATTAAAGTGAGGCGGAAATATAGAGGTAGGATGGCACAATTATTCTGTTAGTTAGATTTCAATGTTCTTACAACAGTAACATCATTTAAAGGAATATTCTGAGAGTTTGGTACCCAATTCAATTCATGCAGAGTAAGAATACAAAAAATCAATACCACTTTCGCTAAATATGAAGCTACAGCCAAGACACTAACGGGCCGTCCACACTACAGCTTAAAAAACGGTTTCCAACGCGTCTGCCCATTCACTTTGAATGGGGTGACGTCACGTTGCCTCGCTTTTCGCCGAACTGAATTGTGGGTAGCACGGTCCGTCTCCGGCGTCAGAAGTTGAACATTGTTTAACTTCTGACGCAGGAGACGCCGGAGTAGCCTGCGCCAGCCAATCAAATCCCGTTTCTGAAAATCTGACAGCTCAAGCCCTAGCCAATCAAACCGCGTCTAAGCTGGGAGAGATATCCCGCCGATCATTTCTATATTTCAAAAAAAGATGGAGGAGAAACTAATTATCGCCGTAGCAAATCACCCGGTTTTGACCAGACCCTCTTCACCTACCGGGATACAAACCGGAAGAACCAGTCATGGAGGGAGGTGGCAGAGACAGTGGGTGAAACTGGTAGGTTTTCGCCTGTTTGGGGAGTATATATATATATATATATATATATATATATATATATATATATATATATATATTGCTCGCATAAAATCCCCGGGTTTTTTTGCTTTGTATGTCGGGGGCGGGAGATTCATGTGATTGGTTGTTGGTCGCGTCGCTCGAATAAAATCCCCAAGCTTCAGACATGCCCAGCTCCAAGCTTTTTTTTAAGCTGTAGTGTGGACGCTCCGTAACTGCGCCAAGCACATTTCATACTTTGGTGTGGCGGTTGAGCAGGCTGTTACATGTTTGGCAGTGAGCAAATAAGTCAAAGCTGCCTCCATGTTGTCAATGTAGTTGCAGTTGTGCAGCTCTACAACAGAGCATTTGAAATCTACGGACCATAAATGCTTAATAGTCAAAAATAAAAAACAGATAACCTCCGTCAACCCCAAAAAACATAAAAGACTTGGTACGATTAGAACTAATCTAAACATATTTGGTCATTCAAAAGATCTGGACAAATACAAGGCAATAATTATCCAGCTGATACATCAATTATTAATCCTTCAGCAATTTAGTGGACTTAAATTTGATGTGGGTTACATTTGTTTATTCAAGGTGACAGCATTGCTTAGCCTTTGAAGCTTGAAGTACTGTCTTTCTATATATTGCTTTTACTCTCGTCCCCCACCTCTCGTTTCAATCATCTCGGTCACTACTCTCTGCACTCTCTCCCCCCCCGTCTGTCCCTTCCTTCCTGCCTCTCGATTCTCTCATGGCTTTGCGAGTTTTACGACCTCTCCAGTTAGTCCGGGTAATAACGTGTGGCTCAGGTTGGACCTTCTCAGTGTCCCTCTCTCTTTTCACCTCACTCTCCTCACTCCTATCCACCTTTCCTTTGCTCCTCCCTTTGGAGAAAACAGCCGACAGCTGATTGGGTTGTAACAATTTCATAAGTGAAAACTTCTCCACGTTATCTGCACCAGAGTTCTCTCTTTTAGCTGACTCTGTTTGGCCTTTGTCTGAAATGTCATAATCCTCCTCCCCCTTACTGCTGGGTTTTCCTTCCTCCACAGATTCTGTTTCTTTCTCTGAAAATTCTTCTTCAGAGTCTTCTTCTTTCACTTCTGCTTTTCCTTCATCCTCTATCTCTCTTTTGGAGAAACCCTTGACAAGACTTGCTAACCCTGGTACACTCCAGCGTGCTTTTACAACCTGATCGACTTCATTTAGACTCTCCCTGCTGCTGCATGTTTCGCTGTCACTGTCCCTCCTGTCTGCTTTCGCTATGTTCTTCTTTAGTCTGTCAATCTGAAGAACCTTCAATATGTTTCCTCTTTCCTTTCTTGCATTTCCCCTTCCCTTCCGCTTCTCTCTCTCTTGGCTACAATCATCTCCATCTTTACCATTTCCTTCATCACACTTTACTTCTTTCTCCCCCTCTGATTCTGTGTCTGCTTTAACCTCCTGCTCTTCCTCGTTGCCTTTACTCCTGGTGAAAGCTTTCGCAAACATTCCAGGTGTGAACACTTGAAATATTTCCCCTCTTTCCTGTCTCTCTCCTGCTGTGCCCCCCCTTTCCTCTTGACCTCCACCCTTCACCCCCTGATCAACACCTCGCTCTAAACCCGGCTCCCCTCCCTCCCCCTCCCTCCTGTCTTTAAAGAGAGCCCTCATCAGCCTACGATGTTTGGAGATGTTCCAGTCACTCCAAGGAAGTGAAACGAAGGCGCTGGGGAAGGGGGCTTTTGGGCCGCCCTGGCCTGCCGCGAGCAGAGAGGGCTCACCTTCACAGCGCTGGCACTTGTTCAGCTGGAAGGGGAAGATGATGTCTTTCTCGTTACCGCAGAACTCGCACACGAAGCCCTTCGCCTGGCACAGCTAGAAGAGTTTCAAGGAACAAAAAGGACAGAGAAAAACAGACATTTGATTATGGAAATGTGCAGACGTTACAACAGTTCCTCATGCAGTAGGTCACCGGTTTAATATTTTACTTTTGTATGAAATCACTGCAATAATTAGATGGATTAACTCTTCATGTTAAAGGTCTCCTACTATACTATAGGTATATATATAAAAGAAAATGTCTAAGAAGTATTTTGCTCAAAATACCAAAGAGATCACCCATTCTAGCCATGCCTCATACCCCTCTATTTCAGCCCTGTTAGAGAATTGCTGATTCTGGGTCTGTAGCTTTAAAAAAATAAAAAAAGAAGAAGGGGGAGCTCATGCAGGAGAACTCTACCGACAGATACTCAGCTAAATGCTGCCGTGATTAAACGCCACATTATGTGCAAAAACCACATCAAGGATTATTTCTGAAACAGTATGGAGCTCAAATGCTTTTTCTCTTGCGGGTTTATCACAAGGTGAGTACCTTTTTATATCCTGCTTCTTTACACATACTCTCTCCAGTACAGGTTAGCTCTGAGTGTTAGCGATGCTTGCTAATGTAAACAAAGACCATATTACATCCAAAACAGGTTGTGCATTGTTTCTGATAGCGACGTTCCTGATCTGCATCTTACCACACAGCCAGCTGCGTGCGAGGTGCCATGTTTCAGCAGCTCTTTCATTCGTGGAGTCAGGTCCCCGTTGCGTACAGCAGAGAGGTCATTGAGGGAGAAGAGGTGCAGGTCTTCAGTGAGGTGACCTGGCAGGCTGTCGAACTGGTCCAGCACCCTGACACACACACAAATAGACACACTGATTATGTCCATCTATGCAGGGAGATTTGTTTGTATTATTATTGTGAAACCAAAAACATGTACAAGCAGACTTCTTACTCTTTAGCGAAGCGACAGGTCTTGAAGAGATTTTTCATGTGAAACAGCTGCACCCTCAAAACCTAAAAAAAAAATGGAAATCAACAAAAAATGCATCATGTTTGTTAATAAACACTGACAGGAACATATTGCCTAACATTGTGTTGTCATGCTTTTGTTGGTTGTTGATCCCTCTGGTCTCCACATAGTTCAGACTCTATATCTCAACATATGTTTGCATTGATTTGATCCTCCTATTCTAATTACTATGGTTTCATTCTGTGCTAGTAACTATTGCCTGCTCAAGTGCTACAGACACAATTGAGCCTTTCTGGCAACTGCAGCATCTGTGCTGTTAAAAGGTTTGATAATGATTGGCCCTGACAGCTAACTGACATGAGCAAGTGTCTAATTTCTCATATTTTGTAGTAGCTATATCCTGCATGAAAAATATCTTGTGCCTTTTCTCCTCTCCATGAGAAGGTTTAACATTGTATTCTTGCTCTGTTAGCACAATCCCAACAAACCATGTCCATTAGGATGTGCCTTTTTCAGAATCACATGTCTGTTTCCAAGGAGAAATGGCTATAAATGGCTCTATTCATTCTAATGTATTTTAAGTCAGTCACAAGCTTGCTGGTTTATAATTAGGATACATCATGCTTAGCAGACGACTTTAGAACATAGTTCAGCTAATTTAATAAACAGAAGTGAAACGTGTTATTGTGGTAAAAACACAGAGAAAGTTTAAGAAAATAGATCTGACAAAACATTCCTAATGACTTATTTTCCATCCGGCTGTGCTCACCCTGACGACCTCCAGAGCTTTGTTCTTCTTGTACAGGCCACTGTTGATGTCATTGGGGTTGAACAGAGGGTCTCCTGCGATCTTGCTCAGCAGGTCCCGGGCGAAGTTGCTGACATAGTACTTGCTGAAGTCCCACTTCCTCAACACTCGGCCGGGAACAACTGCCTGGGCGTTCTCATGGCAACACTGGCAGAAGTAACGGCCGAGGTATTCACAGTAACGCAGGCGCTTGATATAATCTGAAGTGTGGATAGAAAGCAGAGACACATGTGGGGTAAAGGTAAGAATATGGAATTAGTAAAGTAAAGTTAAAGTATATTTGCATAGAATTGTTGATATAAAAAGAGAAGTACAATAGGAAAAGTTTATGGCAAGCTGACCAACTAAGAAAAAGTGTTAACGACGCACTTGGTAAATTACATTAAAAACAAGAACTGAAACTTTGATAAAAAATGGACTTCTGGAGTATTTTTGGTAATACCTGGGTCGATGCGAGTACCACAGCCAGCGCAGCGGTAGTTCTGTTTAGCTACAACTATCTTCCTCCTGTCAAGGAAATATAACATGTAAGTAAAATACATTCTGTAGGGAAAACAGCAAGAACAGTGGTCTAATATACAAATAAAAGATGGCAGGCAGGGTGTGTCATAAAAAAAGATGAGAAACCAAGTTAATGGCAGATGAAAACATAGAAATTAAGAACTAAATAATAAGAAATTGAGCAAGTCGATGAAGGTGGTTAACTCACTTGGGGGCGGGATGAATGTTGAATATGATCTGCGGTCGGGGAGGGGCCCACTCCAGGTTGCCCCTCACCCTGATCCTCAGCTTGTAGATGTCTGCATGTTCGCCATCATCAGGAGAGATGGGCAGAGAGTCGGGGATGGGCAGCAGCTAGGAGGCAGCAGAGAAGTGGAGTGAGTTCAAAGTTAACTACTTTTTGGAGGGATTCTATCTGCTGTAAGTCAACTTATTATATTATATCAAATAAAGTTTTATTTATATAGCACATTTATAAACGATTTTTGGTCGAGCCAAAGTGCTGTACATATAATAAAAATAGCCTACAGTAGAGACACTTTACAGCAAATACAACAGCACAGATTGTTCAGAATATCAGTATGAGAAAAACGACACCCTCTGTCCTATATTATTCAAGCATGTCGAGTGTCTTGTTTGAGGTTGAAGATGTTGTACCTTCTGCGGAGCGTCGTGTTCTGGGACCAGCCAGTCGAGTTCGGAGGCCGCAGGGAGCTGCATGCCCTCAAACTGCCGGAGTAAACCCATGGCTACTGACTCCGCTGAGTTAGACTGGAGGAAGGCGGGAGAGCTAAAATAAACAAAGGAAGAATATATTTTAAAAGATATTAATAGGACATAATGTTTTGTTAAAAGTCGAAGCAACATTCAACAGCATTACATATTTAAGAATGTTTACATTATTATGTATTAGAGGGGAAACAAGAAGTTGCTGTGTTACTTACATGGACTCTGAGCTGAGAAACGACCTGTTGCTGGAGCTCATGCTGCGCTTAATGTCTGCATCTGGAAGACAATGATTTAACAGTTAAATTATTTACTACTTAGTACAATTTGTATACACATTTTATCCACCAGCCATAGCTATGAAAAGATTATTAATTAATATAATTAAAATCAAAAGTTTAAGATCAATAGAATTTAAAAGAACTGTCAGAAGACGGCGGGATTTGTCGTGAAAAGAGCTAAATGTACCAGCAGTCGGCTCGTGATTTCTCAACAGGGGTACACCTACTTACTACAGCTAAGCAGCGATCAATGTTTGTTCAAATAAATGTTGTAAGAGAGATGTGATTAGCGACGGAGAAAAAGAGGAATATAAGGAAACAATCTCTCGTTAAAGACAATAATTGTTTTGTTTTACAGCCATTTAGGAGGTAGCATTCAGGAAAGCCAAGAGCATAAGCAGAGCATTGCTGCCCTATGTTCTTGTTACACACCACAAACAACATGTACAGTAAGCACAGATACTAAGCAGGAGAGGTTTGGTAGACCAGGAGACCGCCTGCATGAATTCTCGTGAGAATACAGCAGCTTCTTTCTATCAGTGGAGCATGGGTCTTGTGTTTTTAAATAAAACCCGCATTGGACTAGAGTTTTTCTCTTTCTTTTGCTACATTTGGTTGAGGGCATAATGACTGCTGACAAAATTCAATATATTTCTAACAAACTTTTTTTGAAACTGCTGGTGCTTTCAGAGGACAATCACCCACAAGAATAATTTTAAAGAACATGCATTATGTTCATAAAAAACAGCCTGTGTGACCTTGATAAAATCATCACTTTGCCTGAGCCAAAATCAGCTATATGTCATAAACCGACACAAAATGAACTGTTAATATTGGGCAGGCTTCAAAAAGGAACAGTTAGGATGTGTATGTGTGACAGCACTCACACTTCATTCTCACCAGAGTCAGATTTGAAATGCTGAATAATGGGATGGATTGATGAATGAATAAGTGATTAACCCCTATAGTTACTGTTGCCACAGAAGGAGCCTCCCTAAACTCTAACAGGCATATTCGTCCACCAAAACTCTGCAGCACCGAACAACAAGCACCAACACAAACAGCCAAGCGCACCATTCAGCCGAGGACAGGCCGGTGGCTCGACTCCAAACTGAAAGCTTGCATTACTCCCCCGCCCTGCTTAGAATAATAATTGATGATACTGGAGTCATATCAAAATAATCTTTTGCATCCGAATAACACTGATAATAATAAACACTTTAATAACAATTAAAGCTTTTTATTTGCCTAATACAAAGTAAGTTTCTTATGGATGGATTATATCAGATATGTTATCAGAGGAATACAGCAAATGAACATTGCTTTTGTTTATGTAACGCCAACCCAAAATCAAAGGAATTAAAACATTATTATTAGTATTTTGTTATGCCTTTGCAAAAACGGTTACAGTCATGCAGAATCAAAAGTGAAGTTTGGAAGTTTTTTCCTATAGTTCATTTCCAGACAGTTGAACATAATCAATGACTGATTCAAGAAAGATATAAGATAAGCTATAAACAATAACTTGCAAAAGTGACTGTTTATAGCTTATTTTATAGGATTAACGGGAGAAATTTTCCGTTTGGAGTCGGGCCATCGGCTTCCTCTCACAGTAAACTGTCTGTTTTGAAGCTGTGGAGCCTCGCCCCCCCCATCCAGCCTGCAGATACCTGTGAAGAGTGAGGCGAGGGACAGGGAGAGGCCGTTCTGAGACACCGCCAGCAGGGACTGACCCTCACAGCCATCTGAGAGACAGAAACTAACACTCAGCACCACACGCACAAACATTTGAAACAATCCTCAGAGCGGTATGTCAGTGTCGCAGGCAAACAAACAGTATACTAATACGCAGTACATAGTACATGTGGGCATCATGCATCTTATACACAGGGCAGGTGCGCACCCCCTGCCAAAAAAGGAGCACCGGATCATTTGAAAAAAGCGCATTTGTGCACCAACACCAACACCGAGAGAGAGAGAGAGAGAGAGAGAGAGAGAGAGAGAGAGAGAGAGAGAGAGAGAGAGAGAGAGAGAGAGAGAGAGAGAGGAGAGAGAGAGGAGAGAGAGAGAGAGAGAGAGAGAGAGAGAGAACAGAGAGAAGAGAGAGAGATATTTGCGAGTTGCATAAGAACTGTAACACAGTAACCCTGCTGCGAGGCATACAGTGAACAGTGAACAGTTCATGAGCGTGCTCACTAGCGCACCTCCCCATTTATTATGCCATTTGTGGAATTAGTTCTATATCGTATAAGGCTTCGTCCTCTAAGGCTATCGCTATTGGGTAATCCCCACTGCACGTGTGCAGCACTGACAGACTTATTCCACGCCCACCTATGACGTGGGCCCCACCTCCAGGCTCACTTCCGTATAAATAGGAAATAGGCCCTACAATCCACTCCTACTTTTCTTCAGCACTCCGTTGCAGAAGCATTGACAGGCAAAACAAGTTATTTTAAGAGCTACTTACTGAAAAGCAAACATTCCTCCTAAAAAGCTTTGTTTTTCTGGTAAGATGGAGACTGGGCAGGAAAGTCAAGGTTGCGTCAGGGATTGCCTCGTATGCGGGTCGGGCTACATTATGAGCTTTGACAGGCACTCACAGTGTGAGTCCTGCCTGGGAATAGAGCATGCGAACGCGGCTCTCACTCCCGGGGTATCATGCTCGCATTGGCCACGCTTCCCGGTCATAAGGAAGTACCAGGAGGGGGCGGCGGCGGACCCTGGAGAAAATGAGGGCTCCGATAGGGACATACGTGCCCCTCACGAGAGTGGTGGGATTCACGGATGTAGGTTTCCCGACCGTGCCTCCTCTAGAGCCGAACCTCACGGCGTTCTTTGGGGCTAGGCAAGCCAGCACGGTTACCGGACGGCAACCCATGCTGGCTGCCACCAAAGATCAGTTTGTCGCCCGACAGACGGACCGAATGCACCAGTGTGCGTTTCAGGCGTCAGCGGCGGCGAACAATATAGCGTTGCTGTCAAACTCCATGGTGGAAATGTCCGAGCAGTCAAAAACTATGTCCTCAGTGGAGGCTGAGGAGATAGGTAAGGCGGCCAGTACTGCACTTACACTGTGTGCAGCAGTCGCAGTCTCGCAGGCGCGGATTGCGGCGTGGGCGACACAGGTCCACCGGTATCTCTGGCTACAGCAGGGGAATATACTGGAGGGCGCAGGAAAGGATCTGCTGGAGGCTCCAGCAGATCCTTTCCGGACGGACTATTTGGACCACAGTTCCACACCATGGTGGAGACTATGAAGTCTGCGGCAGAGCAGGCAGACGACATAAGGCGTCACGCTAGCTGGCTTCAGGACAAACGTCCTCAGCACCCGCAGCCCCCGCAACAGTCTCAACGGGGGCAGCGTGGACAGCGGCGAGAGCAACAACGGCGTCAGAATCGCCCTTCGGCAGCTGCAGGGGCTCCGTCCCAGGTCTCCGCTCCTCCGCCGCAGAGACAGGATCTGCAGGCGACGAGTTGGAGGGGAAGGAAGAACCCCCGCTCCTGGTCTGCTCCTCCAAGAGAACCTCCGAGGAAGCAGAACCGAAGATGACTCTTTAGGGGGGTTATGTGGGAAGAGAGAATTATTAATAAAAATGATTCAAATCTCAACATTGTGTCTGTAGCAACTGTGTCTCACAAGTCCCCCACACTAGTCATGCCGGCTGCCATTAATCTATTGATTAAAAGGCAGCAGGACTTGTTGCATAATCCATCTGTTTTTAACCTGTCGGTTAATAGACAGAGGGACTCGCCGTTTGAGCCAGCTGTTTCTAATCTGTCGGTTAGCAAACAGCTAGGCTCGCTGTATAAAGCCTGCGGTATTTAACCAGTCGGTTATAAGACAGCAGGGCTTGACATTTAAATCGGCCGCTTCTATCCTTTCGGGTAACAAGCAGCGCGGTTTTTCCTCTGTCTCAGTTGTGCCTACACAGTCGTATTAAGCCTAGCGCGGCTATTACGCACGAGGTGAAAAGCACTGCACACACCTCCGCGAGTTGGAGCGTAAACCCGCCTCAGGGTCCTGTTTATGAGCCTTCTCCTAAACAGAGACAGGATGAGAGTCGGTGTGTGATGCAGCGTATGGAGACCCCTTCACAAGCAACGGCGGCAAGGGCTCTGGCATGGCTTGTCACCATGACTACCACAGCACAACAAAAACAGGTACGCCCGCTCTCAGAGCGATGCTCAGAGTGGAGGCGGCTATGTTTAATGGACGGATGGATGAGCAGGCTGATCAGCAGAGGGTACTCTCTGCAATTTGCCTTAGTTCGCAGTTCGAGGGGATTCAGGAAACACTTCTGTCATCCCAAGAACAGTGTCTGGCGCTCCAGTCAGAGCTGCGGAAACTCCTGTTAAAGAGAGCAATTTCCAGGGTTCCTCAAGGGGAAGAAAATCGGGGGTTTTACTCCCGTTATTTTCTTATCCCGAAAAAGACCGGGGGGGATGAGACCCATCCTAGATCTGTCAGCATTCAACAGAGTGATACGAAAAAGACCGTTTCACATGCTGACAATCAAACAGGTAATGGAGTGTGTTCACCAGGGAGATTGGTGCACCGCCATAGACCTGAAGGATGCTTACTTCCACATAACCATCATCCCAAAACACAGGAAATTCCTGCGTTTTTCATTCCAGGGAATAGCGTACCAGTTCAATCGACTGCCGTTCGGATATTCCCTGGCTCCACGCACTTTTTCAAAGTGTGTGGAGACGGCGCTGGAGCCGTTACGCAGAGGAGGGATGAGAGTGTTATTTTATCTGGACGACCTGCTGTTGCTGGCTCGCTCCAGAGAGGAAGCTGCTTTACAGACGGTACAACTCATATCTCACCTGTCAAGCCTGGGTTTCATAATCAATTGAGAGAAGAGCTGTCCTCTTCCCTCCCAGATCATCATGTATCTGGGAATGGAATTTAACTCAGTCCGCATGAGAGCACGACTCTCACAGCGGAGAGTGGAAAATTTGACAGCTCTCCTCAGGCGCGTCACACCCGGCAGGGTGGTGACAGCCCTTTCTGTGATGCAGCTGTTGGGCATGATGTCAGCTGGTCACGTGGTGATTCCCCTGGGTCTCCTTTACATGAGGAGACTTCAGAGGTGGTTTATTCGCCTGCGCATCGACCCCGTGCGTCAGAGGAGACGCAGGGTGTGCATTCCTCTATCCGTAGGTTTGGATCTGACCTACTGGAAAAATCCCCACGTCCTGTCAGTGGGGATTCCCCTCGGCAGAGTGACGTCACACACCTCAGTGTTTACAGACGCATCGCTCTCAGGGTGGGGGGGGGGAACATGCATGTCGCAGGCAGTGGGGGGACAGTGGCCGCCTCACATGTCCCTTCATATAAACACGCTGGAATTACTCGCCATATGGAGAGTAATCCAGTACTTCGCCCCGTTGCTGTGGAATCATCATGTGTTGATTCGAACAGACAACAAGACGGCGGCAGCCTACATAAATCGTCAGGGAGGTGTACGATCAGCGCAGCTGCTGGACACAGCCAGACGGCTGTTGCGCTGGGCGCGCACACACACACACACGTACTCTCGATCAGAGCAGTATATATTCCCGGCGAGATGAACAGAGGGGCAGACCTTATGTCCAGAGGAGGTCCTCGACAAGGGGACTGGAGCCTCCACCCCGAGCTGGTCTCCCAAGTGTGGAGCAGGTTCGGGAGAGCGGAGGTGGATCTGTTCGCTGCACGCGGGAACGCGCAATGTGCTCTCTGGTTCTCCCTGAGAAGGCAGGATCACCCCCCTCTGGGGGTGGACGCGTTCGCACACAGACCTTGGCCCAGGGTGTTACTGTACGCTTTCCCACCAGTCCCTCTGATCCCTCGGATCCCTCGGTTCCTGGACCGAGTGCAGGAGGAGCGACTGATAGCGGTCTTAATAGCCCCGGAGCGCACGGGAGCGTCCTGGTTTCCCTGCATACAGCGGACGCTGTCAGGGAGACCGTGGGAAATTCCGTGGCGCAGGGATGCTCTCTCCCAGGTGGAGGGAGCAATCAGCGGTCACCCAGTGTTAGGCCAACGTTTGTGGGCATGGCCCCTGAACGGGAACACTTAGAGGGGCTCGGCCTCTCTCAAGATGTTGTGAGTACTATTCAGGGATCTAGAGCCGCGTCCACCAGGGCGTCTTACACAGCCAAATGGACAGCGTTCCAGCGTTGGTGTGTAGGGAAAGGCTTGGACCCCGTTGCGTGTCCCCTGCCTCACGTGCTGTCATTCCTCCAACTGTTGCTGGACAGGAATTTGGCCTATAGCACGATAAAAGCTCAGCGGTGTTGCGCCCGAACCCGGCTTTTATGCCAAAGGTGATCACAAGCTCGTTTAGATTGAGAGTGATAACCTTGGATGGCTTCTTTCCTCCTCCTCACACATCAGAGGAGGAAGCCACATCTCATCTCCTCTGTCCGTGCGCGCGCTGGCATGCTATGTTGCACGCACGGCTGCTTTACGCAAATCCCAGCGTCTGTTTGTGCATTATAGAGAGCACTCATTAGGGCAGCCTCTATCTGCACAGCGCCTGTCACACTGGCTGTGTGAGGCTGTGTCACAGGCGTATGTTTCCTCTGGGTTGGATCCCCCGGAAAACATTAAAGCGCACAGCACCAGGAGAATATCAACTTCTACGGCGTTGCACGGAGGAATGACAGTGGAAGACATTTGCACTGCTGCATCTTGGTCTTCACCCTGTTCTTTTATTCGTTTTTATTTGAGGGATGTCTCCCATTCCTCTCTGACACATTCAGTACTGAATAGCCTGCCAGAATGAGTAATGTCGGGGTTTTTGCAATTGCATGCCCTCTCTCCTGCCTGTCGGCACTTAGAGAGCGGCCTTTTGTTCCCCTCTCTTGATCGTTTTTAACAAGTGAGACTCGATCGCTACTTTTTATAAACGACAGGTAGCCCCAGTAAGCCTACCTTCGTTCCTTGAGGGAGAAATATAAATGTTGTAATGCTATATTCCCTGGGAATGTGATGCTCCATTTACGCACGACGAAATGGACATGGGTTATTAACCGAGTAGGTGTGTTTTGTGCTTCTGGTAACGGACGGAACCAGTGGGGCGTAGATTACATCCTGCTTCACCCTTAACCCCATTGCGATAGCCTTAGAGGGCGAAGCCTTATACGATATAGAACTGGGGTTACGTACTGTAACCCAGCTTCTATGAGTATAGGCGCAGCCCTCTAAGGTTCGGGCCCCACTGGTTCCGCGAATAGCTGAAGAAAAGCTGTTGGAGTGGATTGTAAGGCCTACTTCCTATTTATACGGAAGTGAGCCTGGAGGTGGGGCCCACGTCATAGGTGGGCGTGGAATAAGTCCGTCAGTGCTGCACACGTGCAGTGGGGATTACCCAATAGCGATAGCCTTAGAGGGCTGCGCCTATACTCATAGAAGCTGGGTTACAGTACGTAACCCCAGATTTGAATGGTGGCTGCGTTGGAAATGTTATTTAGAAATTCACATCACGATGATTAACCCCCCAACATTTTTTAATTCTAAAACCTCAATTTAGGCAACAGATATAAAATAAATGACATTTGGTGCAGCGTTGATATCTTCATATGTTATTGATTAGTCAATTGCAGTAACCATTTGTAAGACAAAACAACACTAACATCTTATGATTGTAAAGTCTGTAAAAAATCTAACGGTAATAAAAACATTTACAGGCTGCCATTCTGTGACCTTTGAACTTCAGTGTTTATGGTTCATGGTCAAATGTAACATGCTTGGTGAGCAAAAGGAAGAAGAGTGGTGATTATGATTATGTAACAAGAGTAGAATAGAAACAAATTCATTCATACAGAAACATTAGTTATTGGAAGAACTCTTGCATATAAAAAACTGAATTAAAAATGTTTTGACAGCAGCTGGAAGGTAAAACCGTCTAACAACATCACATTACAAAAACAAAGAGTGATAATATGTCGTGGTGTTCCCTCTCTCTACCTTGCAGTTCGCACTCCTCCACCTCCTCTGCTGAGCCGGAGTCAGAGAGGCCCTGGTACGAGTCCTGAGAGCTCCGCCTGGAGCCCCCGCTGTCAGTGGAGTGGAACACTGCAGGAGAGAGAGAGAAGCGATTAAACAAAGGACCATAGAGAAACAAAGGATAAGCTGTTAGAATGTTCTCATCATCCCAGCAATCATGAGCTGTCGTTTGCATGCTTTTGCACGGACATCACAGATTAAAACACCTGAACTGTTGAAGCAACATCCTTAATATTCATCTGGCTACTACTTGAAAAATATGTATCTATATATCATATTTCAATAACTTGCATATAGACTCTTATTGCACTATTTCACTTTTTGTATTACTATTTACTTGCACTATATTTTCTGTTTATCTGTGATTTGTGTTGCACTGTTGGAGAAGCCTGTGACACAAGATTTTAATCGACATAACTACACTGTAGCTATGTTCGTATGACTAAATAAAGAACCTTGAACCTTGATTCAAAGATTTCCCAGATTAAAAAATAAAATATATAGAAATATTTAACCTATTTTGTTCATTATCGTACCATACATTATGATATAGCTAACTGGAAAGGTATGCTAAACTGAAACCAACTGACAAGCCTGGCCCCATTAGTCCTGGTTGGGAAGAAATAATCCTCTAACTGGTTTTAAGTTATGAATAAAGGTGGTAAGAAAGTCTTGAATGTAAGACATTTGTGTTTGATTAAAAGTTCAAATACAACATTGACTAATCTGAGGAAGAAGCTATCTATGCTTCAACTAATTCTTATTAGGTACATTTGTGAAAGTTACTGAGATACAACATTTTCAATTAATGTCTCATAAGTAATAGCTCATTAATAGGCCATAAAATGGTAAATCATCTGATCATTTCGTAGTTAATTAAGCATCATTTACATCATGCGTCTGCACAGAGGACTGTCATGCTGCCTTACGCTGCTGGGAGTTTGCGCAGGGCGGCAGGCGGCTGCGTCTGATCTGCTGCCTGCGCAGGCGGATCTTCTGTTTGAGCTGCTGGATCTCATTGTCGCTGTCCCCCTCCTCCTCCCCCGCCTCCTGCTGACGCCGCAGGTTGTACTTCATCAGCTCGATGGCAGCAATAAGGGACTCTGAGATGCTGAAATGAGCGTTCTCCTATAAAACAAATGAAAATTGTGAATCAATCAGAGGAGACTACACCATCAACGGATGCAATGATTATTTATATAACTAATTATATTATCACAGTGGATTTTTAACACTAGAGTTTTGTATTTGTAAATCACTTTGAACTGCATGAATTTGTGTGAAAAGTGTAAATAATCCGATTTTTTCCAAGTTAGTGATTGACCAATCAGCACGACTTTGGTCAGAGGGAGTTAAAGCACGGACCTTCTCCAGGTCAGCACAGCTGCCAAAGTCCTGCTCCGACAGGTAGCTGATGAGGCTCTGACCCTCCGACGGCTTCCTGAACATCCCATCAGAAACAATGCTGCACTGGGACCCATCTGAAGAAACATAACAATTGGCAGAAAATACACAACACCATTAAACAAAAAAGAAACTGTAAGAAAAAAGTGTATGTGTGTGTTTATTGTTGGATGTATTTTATAAAATCTGTGTTAGCTGCCAAAGCCGTTTGTTTAAAAAAAGATGCCTTTAAAACAGAGTTTAAAACTAAGCAAAGGGAATATAGTCTAAGCTTGACCAAAGCAAACTGCATTTCTTATAATGCAACCCATCAAATCTCAATAACAGACACTCTGAATTAACCTTTCTATGACTTTCCTGCTCAGGTCCAGAGGGTCGTGTCTCTTGACCGGCTGACTCGCAGGATACATTTACATTCAGGAACTGAAACATGTATTTTCTTACACCTCATGTCAGTTTTCCTGTTCAACTTCCTCATATATTTAAATATGCTATAAAGTTCCTCTAGCTAAAATCTTTCTTGAATATGTACTAAATACAGGACAAGAGCAGCCTTCTACAATTGCACTCATTTTTTAAATAGCTACAGCATATCTGTGAAACATTTAAACGTAAACAGAAAACTCACGGGACTCCATGTAGAGGGAACTGGGAGTGCTGACATCCTTGCGCTGAGGTGAGAAAGGGCTGTAGTTCTTGATACAGCAGTCCTGCCCTGTCGATTCTAAGAGACAAATGGTCCATGTTAGAGGCCTCTTATCTCCTGATCGCAGAATCACTCAAATGAACACTGAATTCTTTCAAATGGATGGGAACATGCATCATCATCTATACACAAAGCAAGTTAAAAGTTTGGAGTTTATCGTTGTTTTTCAGGCAAACAATCAATAAAACCCATGAGGATGGTTCATTTTATTACATGCGTCAACAAAAACATGACTTTTGACCCTTGTCATTGTAACTATTGTAATTAAGGATGTACAGATAGGGCTGCAGAAATAATCAAATGAAATAATGCAACCACGGTTTTGACTTTACACAATTAAATGAATAATATTTACAGCAATAATATGTTCCAAAGGTGTGCTCAGCTCATAGAAAGTGATACACTTCTATGTACAGGTTTGTAAAGAAGAGTTTTACTTGATGTAATAATTAGGGCCGGGACTTTAACGCGTTAATTAAGATTAATTAATTACACAAAAATTAACGCATTTTAATCGCACTTATTTTTGCACCGCGGAACGTTTCTCACTGGATGAGTTTCAGGCGTACCGATTATACTGGAGCACCAACTAACGTTCATGACTTCAGACAACAACAAACCACAGTGAACAACAGTGGGAAATGTTGTTTTAAAAAACGGACGGATGGAAGCGTCGATAAGAGCACGGTTGTGTGCAAATTATGCAAAAAGAAATTCGCATATCACCGTAGCACATCAAGCCTCAAGTATCACCTCAATGCAAAACATATAGCAGCTAGCGTGGACGTTAGCCTCTTTTATCGCGTTCACACCAAAAAGAGCCGGTACTAAAATTAGTTCATGAGAACCTTTTTACCCCCACGAAAGTCCCTGCTAGAGAGCAGAGAGCTGCTAGAGAGCAGGGACTTTCGTACGGCTCTCTTGTGAGAAAAGAGCTATATTTCTGATTGGCTGGGCGGATTGCAAACCACGCCCCGTAAAACTCCCAAAAAGTTTTGTGAAGGCGCCATTTTATTATCCTCGCATTAGCATTATTAGCATTAGCCCAGCGCAGAAACGCAGAGAGACTAACTTATGGCAACACAAAATAAAACATGGGAGCGGTGGAGATGAGGAGGTGTCGGCGTTCTGGCGATTTACTCGGAAGGCTTCAGTAGAAGCTGCTGGGAGTCCCAGCAGCTTCTACTGAAGCCAGTCCCCAACTCCGGGGACTTCCGGCCGGGGACTTTGGGTGGTTTGCGGCCTGCCAGTAAACCCAAAGCAGAAGAAGAAGAAGTGACGTCAGCGGCTTCATCCACCCCCAGGTTCAAAGAGTTCTCATGAACCAAGTTCTCATGAACCTTTGTGGGAAAAGTACTGCGGTGTGAATGCGCCTAATGGTATACTAAAATCCATGTGAAAAAAATTGCTTCTCACTGTTCTCAGGTCAAATATTTATATGTGATTAAAAATGCGATTAATTTCGATTAATTAATTACAAAGCCTCTAATTAATTAGATTAATTTTTTTAATCGAGTCCCGGCCCTAGTAATAATGTTATTCAAAGCATGTCCACATACAGGACAGCATCTGCTTTGCTATTTACATGTATCATTATTATCATCATTAAATGTTTGTTTGTTTTAGGGACAACTCTAAATCACAATGGCAGTACATCAGTTATACCGACTAGCACAGCTGTAATGTGTAATGATCACGTTTAAACTCAGTTTGTATAGAACTTGCATGATAATGTCAACAAAACACTGAGTGGTCATGAAAGATGTGTGCATAAACAACCAACACTGGAATGGCTCATTTGACAAACCAAAATGGTTTTTTAAACATCCAACAACAAAAGCACATATAAGGAGCTGATGGCAAGACTTGAAATGAAAAGGAATGGAAAGAGTTCATCAGCATGCAGAGGTGAAAGGAAAAGGGAGTGGGGAGGGGGGTATAATGATGGAGCACAGTGAAACTGCACTGCCAACCTGCCACCGGATCTTCTATTATTATGGTGATTTTTCGATGGCCCCCTCCTTCGAATACAACAGGGAAAAGAGAGATATAGAGCAGAAGGAGAGAAATTACCTCAGGCAAAGAGGGGGAGACAGTGAGCATAGAGATGTTAATTCGGAAACTTTTGAAATCTTCAAATAGGAAGTGGGCACCTTGGGGAAAGAACGTGGGCTCACCACATTTTACAGAGCAACACATACACGAAAACTTTCATGGACTCCATCTAAATCTCCCCAAACATTGTACAAAAAAGGAATTGAAAATCAGGTCTTTCCCTCACCTGACAGAAACCTTACATCTCTTTAATACTGTAAATGAATACAACTCCACAATAGAACACATGCCACTAAAACAGATTTTAAATGATTTTTACAAGTTCTTCCTACCATAACACTTTAATCTGTAAACATGCAGCACGAAGCAATGGATCAGTGCGTTGAGGAAGAAATAAACCAGCTAAAAACTCTATAAAAACGGGGGCTCACCACTCCAGTAAGTGGGCTATATTCTCTTTTATCATTACATATCAACAAGGTGACCTGAACCCCCATCATATCTCCTGTTGCAGTTTGGATATGCAGAAATGTTGGATTGCGGCCTAAATGCACAAATGCTTGGGGATATTTATGATCAAATATTGTAATGCTAAAATTAAACCTTTTATGTTATACAACACAAGTAACACACATTCATAATGTCAAAAGAGTGACACATATTTAGTCGACTTACTATTCCTGAGTTTCTGATTGATCCCCGTGTCAGATAAGGAGCGGGTGTGTCCTCGGGACCCCCGGCCCGGCCCCCTCTGACCCTCTGAGAAAGAGGAGCGTCTCGGTGGGGGCGGGGCTAGAGGACCCCGTTGCATGGACAGGTCCGGGGTAAAGTCCACCTCGCTGTTGTGGGTGGAGCTTTGGGATTCGCAGCGGCTGCGTTGCCCCAGGTTACCGATAGCCAGATACTCCGGACCGTCGTCATAGTCACAGTCACAGGAGTCCCCGGCATCGGGCTGAAAGGAGGCGGGCGAGGGGGACTCTGAGAGGGAGGTGCCAGGGATCGAACCGGGGCCAAGAGGTGGCGTCACCCCTCGCTCGCTCTCCCCCGGCCGGGACACACACAACCAGGGAGCCCCCGTGCTGCTGGAGGTAGGGTCTGCAACAGAACGGAGAGATAAGGTGAGATGGATCAAGACAAAAGGTCACAGGGATGCTTCTCTGTTCCTATGAGATCCTTTAATGAAAACCACTCTGAAACAGTTGTATCTGTTTAAGTAAGCACAGGCAGTTCAGGACATTGACTTTTCGAGGCTGTATCAACACATTCTTCAATAACCGATCTTGTGCACAAACAATCAGACCTCTGTATGGTTGAGTCAGTCGAGCTATTCACATACAAACTGTAGTGCCTTCATAGGGCCTTTCCTCCAATCCTGCCCTCTAGATCTGTATGTACCGATTACACCATCTTCTCTGCATTTGCTTAACTGAATGTACAACTATCCTTATCATAAATAGAAACAAACACACTGGTCCAATACGACAGTGTGTACCGAGATCTGAAATTGTTTTGCGAAAAGGTTTGCTTAAATGTATGTTTCTAAAAATAAGTGCCAACCGAGATGATCTAAAATAATTTAACAACGGAGCTCCAGATTTCAACCCCCATGACCCAAAGTGGTCTCCATGTTTACCCAGATTTGATTTCCGTTTTCATAAATAGACATGTACGATCAACATATCAAGTGTTTCCAATCTTCTACACTAATTTTATTTTTAACAAGGATGAACATGGATTTTAACCTATACTTTTTTCCCCATTAGCCCTTCCCTTACTTGTGCTATTGCTGTTTTGGGGTCCGACTCCCGTAGTGCTCCCAGAGTTGTGGCTGGTAGCGACTGCTTCTCGGAACGAGCAGTTGGAGGTGGTGAGTCTGCGATTTAGAGATTCTCCTCTGGAAGCCGAGTCTGCGTTTCTCCAAGCTGTACCAGCTCCAGGCAATACACACAGGCTCTGGCTCTTCAATAGGCCCAGACAGGTTGAGCCCTTCAGAGGGGACAGCTGGATGGTAGAAGGGGAGAGGTAAAGAATAGAAGGCCTTTTCCCAAATGCACACATTACATTTATCTTTTATTTAAAGAAAACAAATCACATATTTCTAGACCAAAACAGTGGATTTGTTGTAGGGCTGTGCAATTAATCGTATTTTAATCGCGATTACGATTATGGCTTGCGACGATTAGGAAAACAGCATAATTGACAAAATACGATTATTTTGCTGGGTGCGCTTTCGCCCCTCCCTAAAAGCCCACTCGGCCACGTGGGAGTGACATGTGTTGTGAGTGTTCAGCGCAAGCGAAGATGTCAGAACAAGAGCAGCAACTAGTTAAAAAGAAGGGTCGCGGGGAGATTCCCAGTCGATCGCGAGATGTGTCTAAAAATAGAACAACAATATTCTGTTTTATCGTTAATGTCCTGTAACATAATGTTCCCGTCCCAGAATAATGCACTTGAACGCATCAAAGCTTTGTGATTGGCCGGCCTCACCCCATGTGTCCGGGCGTGGCTGGTGAGCAGTGCACTAGTTCGCTGACGTTGTCCGTGTCAACAGCATGGATGGTCAACAGGAGTGACAGTCCGCACACACACAAGACCGCAATTATGGCAGAAGCAAAAAAGCCCAAAATATATAATTTTCACTCCAAGTGGGAGGATGTTTATTTTTGTATCTATTCCAATTCAAAGTCCATCTGTCTCATCTGCAATGCGAGCGTGGCTTTATCGAAGAAGGGTAATTTAGGACCGGCATTTCAAAACAGTGCACAAACGCTACGAGACGGAATTCCCTCCTAATTCTGCCCTACGCTCCAAAAGGGGAGGGGCCTGAGAGCACAGCTAAATGCACAGCAGTCCATTTTCACCAGGCCCAACAAGTAGGGGTGGGCGATACCACAAAATCTGGATTCGATCCGATACCAAGTATTTCAGGGCCAGTATCGCCGATACCGATATCGATACCGATACTTTTTTTAATGAAAAGCGTCTTATGTACTTTCATATAGGGGAGAGCTGCATGACATGATTTTTGAACTGAAATCATCATAAATAGACTAAATCTGAATTCATTTTCATGAATAAAGACAGGACAGTTTTTATAGACAAATACACGTTTTACTTTTGCAAATTTAAAGTGCAAACATGAAAAATAACAATACAAAGTGGCCAAAGTAGCGAACTGTCTTCTTGCACACATCACAGTTCGCTAAGTTTTAATGGCCAGTTGTGAAATTGCTCCACACAACGCTGCTCTTTCTCTCAGCCATCATGCGCGTGTGTGTGTTGCACTCGCGAGTCGCTGGCTGCTGCTGTCCTGCCCTGCTGGCTGCTGTCAGTCAGCTTGATAATCGGCGTTCAGGCAGGGAGCCTCGAGGAGAAGAGGACAGCAGTGGAGAGAGAAGAAAAGAGCATATACTTGTGTTCGTCTGCACATCGTTTTTTGAAGAAATTGACGAGTAGAGGAGACGAGAAAAAAAGTATAACAGTATCGATCCTATTGGCTCTAGTATCGATATTTTGAAACGTAACGTAATATCGGAAGTATCGATATTTTGGGATCGATCCGCCCACCCCTACCAACAAGAGCAAGGCTGCTACCAGAGCATCTTATCGTGTCAGTCACGTTCTTGCGAAACACATGAAGTCTTTCGAAGACGGCGAAGTTATGAAAGAAGCTTTCCTGGAGGCTGCGACGTGCTTTTGTGGGACAGTAAAAATAACAGCAGCATTTCAACAGGTTTTTGATATAATAAAAACTCAATTTAGATACTGTTATTAATCTGCTGTAAGTTTTAGTTTGTTTGAATTTATTCATGATAATTATTGTACAAAATGGTATAAGAATGCAAACATTAAGATCTGTTCTGTTTAAATTGATTATAGTCTATCAGTTCAGAAACTAGTGTTGCTTGCATCCTATTTTAAAGGCATTTCTTTTTATACTCTAATAAAATGCAACAAAAAATGGGTTTGATTCTATTAATGTTGTCTTTTTTATTGCACTGTTGCTGCAGCAGATTACTGTGTAGCTTCAGATCTGAGTTGTCTTATTAGTAAGCCTAATTTATACTTTTGTAGCAACACTATTTTTATATAATGGCAAAGAAAGGGTTCTTCAGAGTCTTTTCTTTTTTTCCTGTGTCATATGTGGCAGCACTGCCACAAGTTCCTCTTCAGAGAGGGTCTTCAGTACAGGTGGCAATATTGTCACCTGCCTGCGCTCATCTCTGAAACCAGACCATGTAAACAGGCTGGTATCTCTTGCAAAAAATCTTTAAGAGATGACATGAGCAGCCCTACCAGCATTTGCCATGGTGGCCTAAACATTTTTATTTGGTCTTAAATTGTAGTTCAACATGTATTTCCTGTTACTTCTGGACCATGACGGTTGGCCAGCCTTCAACGTTTAACTGAGTGGAATATGTTGAACCAAAATGTTGGCTATATGTTAAGGAGTTTTCAGTAGGTTGTGACAGTGCACTGCAACATATTGGATTTCATTTATTTTGGTCTAATTTATTTTTATTTATCATATTAATATATGTTTAGTATGGTTTTGGAAATGCGCTCCAACACATTTATTGATCTTGTTTATTGGTAAAATATTATTTGTTTTAAAGTTCAATAAATGGTCAATGAATAATCGTCAAAATAATCGTGATATCAATTATTGACCAAATAATCGTGATTATGATTTTTGCCATAATCGCACAGCCCTAATTTTTGTTGTTATATTCAATACCCCTTTCTAGTATAAATGCAGTGATATAACACTTTGTTTTTTATTAATTATTAACAAAATAACAATAATTGATTAGATAGTCAGTCATTTTTGCAAAACCCACCCCAAAGGTGTCTACTTGGGCAAGCAGTTTGGGGTTATTCTGCTCCACGGCTTCCAGACACTGGAACATGGCGGTCACATGAGGCTCACTCAGCAGAAAGGCATGACCTTAAAGGCAGCAAGGGACAAACGGAGATAAACAAAGAGGCCGACAAAGAAAGGTGAGCAGATTAGGTAACGAGAGAGATCATTTTTAAGTTATTAGAAGGATAGAAAAACAAAGAAACATGTATTTGAGCTGTTTCTTACTTTAGTTTACACTTGCCACCAATGCCTTCCAAATTAAACTTTACATTGATGTGACTCTTTGTGACCTTTATAACTCACCATTATAGTATTTACTCGTATGTCCCATATGCCGGAGCAGAGGTCTGAGCTGAGAAGACAGCATGTGAACCTGTAAGCTGTGAAGGAGCCAGCGCTCGGCCTTGTAGCTCTCCCCAGCATTCCTCATCCCGCTGCTCAGCACCGGCTCCAGGTGACCGAACTGTGGACAGACACAGAGGAAGAGAAAGACAGACAATTGAAACAGGTGCATATTGTGAAAGGGGAGATTTGATGTCCTCATTTGTCATTACTTTTCCCACAATGTTTAGTAATCAAAGAGCAATCAGTATAATTGGATCTTGTTCCAAATCTTTTCGGTATTTACTCTAAACATACTGCTGTTTGTTTGCAGCCCAGTCTGTATGACACTTCATTTAAAATCATCTAAAAAAGGCAATTGGGTGGTGGTTTACGATGAAGAGTGAGCTAAAATATATCAGCACAAAACTTAAAACAGGCTTAGATATCATAAACCAATAGTGACAGGATGATTTATACGTGGTGAGCGTCTGCTGGTAAGTAACTGAGGGCGTAAGGAAGATAATACGTTTATTTGACTATGCGTCCCTTTCCTTGTTGAGAGTACTGGTAAAACACAAACACTAAACTCTAAATAACACAAACAGGTAATCCAGGAAGGGAAGTGACTTTGTCGCAGGTATTTGAAAGTGTGAAATGTATCAGGTATTTAACTTTGCATATAGTTTAACAAAAAAGGAAGCATTGTTTTGTCTGACTGGCAGATCAGCTCTCAAAAAAAGATTGCAGTGTTTAGACATATGTACACATAATCTCACCTCCAGTGACAAAAGTCAAGAGATTTGAATGCTGAAGTTGAAAATATTGACATACCACCCTGCATTATGCTAGCTGTGACAATACCTGTTCAACGTGCGAGGCGAGGTGGGGGCTGATGTAGCGAACACACCACACAAACGGCCAGTAGTCTCTCTGCTTGTAGTACACCTGCAGCACAAAACCAGCATGACCCAGTTACAGAGAATACAAGACAATAGGCCATTATGCAATGGGAGTGCATCCCATTGATAAATGTTTTTTCCCCATATTTCAGGAAGTCAATTGATGATGGAAAAATACTTGCCGAAATGTTAGAAAAAAAAATAACACTAGAAAGAGAATACATGAGAATAAATACAAAAGAAGGCATGGCATCAGTCAGGAAGTCTGACCTGCTCATTCTTCAGTCCATGGCTCAGGATGTTGTTCATGTCCTTGTGGAGTCGTTGTAGGCCGCCGTAACGTGACCACACGTTGGGGTTGTTGGTAGACACGAGACCCTCCACTGTGGTCTTCAGGCTGGACAGTAGCTTCCATTGCTCCTTCCTGTGGGGAAAAAACAGGGCAGCAAGGACAGAGTTAAACAGAATGAGAGAGGAAGTTTAGGAATGAGGAAGGATGTAAAAAAAGTGCTGGTGTAAGCAGTGTTGTGGTTTAAATCATTACTCATTTATTTAAAAAAAATGTAGTTTAGTAAAGATAATCTTAAAAACAACCAGGAATGCTGACCCTGAATAAATGTATTTGCAGTATCATCACATCTAAACCTTACAAAACAGATACATACATAGACACCTACTCCCTATCTATCTAGATTCAAAATGTTTACAAGAGCTACAAGTACATAATAAGCTTGGGAGTTCCCACTAACTCAGTGTTGATACACTATACTTCAGACCACAAATAATGTTTAATATGGAGGAAATTGCCATTGATTCCCATAACAAAAAATTATAAGTCTGTTGCTCACGATGCATAACTTCAGTGAGTCAACTGTAACTTTACTACAGGGCTATGGAAATATTTTGTTCTAAAAAGTGTTGTTTACAAAACACAATTATCAGGTAAAATCCCTTAGGAGCAATAAAGCCCGTTTCCCCTTATGTTAGCAGTCAACTGAATGTGTTTTGACATCTACCCGCATATCTGCAGCAATGGGACTAAATAATCTGTTGTCAGTAAACACCAACACATGAGGGGGAATTATTTGTGGACAGGATAACTTAACAGGTCATATAATGCTATACTTGAGCAGGTGTTGTCTGTCTGAATTCATTTTAAAATTAACAAGCCCCCCATACCTATATCATTGTATCAAAATTGATCATTTAAAATTAAGATCTGTAATAAATCCATGACAGAGAAAATGCCAAATTGACTTGGACAATGCAGTCGTGTAATCTAACTGATTTACTCTAAACTACACTCACTTACGCCAACTGTTTCTTATTCATTTTATAAAAACCGAGCAGGGCTAGGCAGCAGCATCACGAGTTCAGCTACCTAGCCAACAAGTCAAATCAAATCATGTAACTTGGGAACAGAGAGGCTGCTGAATGTTTGAGAACATTCTCCTCGTAGAGAGCATAATGGGTTTATCCGTACAGCCTATGGTTTACCCAACAATAGTGGTCTGTCTGTCTGTCTGTAACATTTCATGTTTGCATTTGGTTGTCAAATACAAATGATACCATACTAAATATACGGATTTTAGAAACTAAACTGTATTTGCATCATTTACACTTAAGAGTCTCTTTCGGCACCACTTTGTAGTGAACATCTCCAGCATTTCCTCTTAAACTAATTCTTCCAGTAATCGTATAGTCATCTAACATGATTTATATATTATTTCACTGTAAAACAAGCACATAGCTTGATACATTTGCCAAAATCATACATATCAATTAAGTTAATATCTGGCACAACACAAGCCGCGACGTCTCGCGTGGCGTCAACATCATCTGACAGCTACGGTTAGCAGCTACAGTAGGTGTTAGCTTTCATTTAGCGCTGTTAAAATGCCCTGGATGTTAGCGAACAAAATGCAACCAAACTTTCACTTTTTGATTCTTCAGTTAGTCTTTGATTCAAGGCAAGTTGACACGCCTCGCAGCTATTTAGTGCCGTTTGCTTAAAGTAGTCAAACCTAGCCTAGCTTTGCCGCTAGCACTCGATCGTCATTACAGTTAATCCACCAGTATCATAGCTAGCTAGCATGCTACCGTTGGGAGTTGGCTATCCAACATTGGTACAGTGCTTCAGTTAAAGTAAGCTGCCGCTTCAAATGCTGTCACATTATGTTAGTTACTAAACCATCAAGATGGTTCTAAATATTACAGTTTGTTGGTTTACTTTTAATCAATGGTCTCTCGTAGCACAGCTAGCCGGGTCACCACCCCAGGCTGTCACTCACCTGCGCTCCTCCGCCTCTTCCTCCGCCGATATCTCCATGTCCTCCGGACGGAATAGAGTACCGTAGAAAGCTGCCAGCTTTCCCGATAACTCCAATATGGTATGTTATACTAAGAAGCTCTACCTCGGAGGTAGGAGTTGTTAACCGGACTTCCAGTCTTCCGCCATCTCTGCCCCGCCTGTCCGAGCTAAGAACCACAACAGTGAGGCCGCGTGATCTGCTGTCAGCAAGTGGGCGGAGATGTTGTCCTCTACTCGACCCTCTTTTTAAACCATGTTAATGATTTTCCCCTTTGTTGTTTATTAAATATGCTGGCGTTTGCAGGACTTGTAGTATATCAAATGCTTAAGTGACTGGTAAGAGAAAACGCCTTCATTTATAGACCCAAGACATCTGAACGGAATACACCTTGGTTACTACCGCCACCTGCTGTTTTTTAGTACCATTGCATTTGTGACTGCTGCCCCCTGTTTGAACCATGGATGTATAATGGTTTGAACTCACACGTCTTGCTTTTTTGGCACAAGCAAAATGTCGTAAAACAGCGTCTGATCTTCCAGCAACATCCAGTGACTGCTCCATGGAAGTTAATTTCTCAATGTCGAACAGTGGTGTAACTAAAGTACATCCATAACATTCACCTGTTTGCAACTTACAAATTATGTATCACTTGAATATTCTTATGGCACTACTTCTATTCTATTTTATTGTATTTACTTGCACTATTTTATCTTGTTTTATTGTGTTGCACTGTTGGAGGAGCCTGGGACCTAAGATTTTCATCGACATATCTAAACTGTATGTACAATCAGGGGCGGATCTACCGGGGTGGCATGGGGTGGCAACTGCCACCCTAAACAATAGCCTTGCCACCCCAGCTGCCACCCCAGTTGGCATCTTTGTTTTGAAAGAAAAGTTGTGGCTCATCGGACATTTGAGAGAAAATCTCTAATGTCCGAGTGCAAGTGAATGCAGCACAAGACCCGAGTCTTGTAACCCCGGCCCTGGCGCGAGAGTGGAAATATGATTGGTGGCGAATTCACTTGAACGGGGGGACGGCGCAAAACGAGAAGCCTTTCGGACTCAAGTAGACGGAAGGAATGAGGTAGTTGCGGTCTACAATGACAGAGAAGAGTCTGTGAAGTTTGGCTGTACTCAGCATTGAATCAAAACGCACTAAAGCTTTAGATCTTAATAAGTTTGTGAGGCGTTTTGCTGAACAACATGGTAATCGCCGCATTCAGCTGTAATAGGCATGCCAACTTGATGCTCTGCTCACGGATGACTCGATGAGCATAAAAAACTGTTAAGATGATGACCTTGTATGCGTGTATATATTTTTTTATTTGTGGAGGTCTGCCCCTAAAAAACTGTTATAAGTCCTGAGAAAGTAAAATAAGACGGTGTGTAAAACTACACTGCCCAGACAAAAAAAAGTAACCACTTTGATTTAACTAGGCCAGTAGGTAAGAACTTTCCACTGGACAATAACTTACTGCAGCGATGTATATGTTTTAGCTGAATACACGTTTTTTAACCCTAACTGATGCAGTTAGTCACTTCTTTAATATTTGTTCTTTCTGATGCAAAGTCAAGGATGTAACTGTATATCAATAATGATATAATTACTTGTTTTTCAAATTTGAAGGAGGGTGAGCAAGCATCTTGATGAACATTCATCATTAACTCCTCCAAAAAATATAGTTTATTCAATAATAAATGAATATGTGAATCATAACAGTTCTTCACTATATCTGTAAAGCGTCTTTGAGCACCTGTAAAAGCGCTAACAAATTAAATCTATTATTATTATTATTATTATTTATTAACAGTGATTGACAGCTGATAGGAATAATATGATTGTTAATAGTATCATATTCATTCAGACAAACATCGATGAGACAGTTAATTAATATACTTATTGCAGCAGTCTTCATAGATTTGGTACCCCTGCTGGTCTAAGAGTGAAACCAACTCATTCAGTTAAAATTCATTAAATTACGTCTGCCACCTTATATATGCATATGTAAGGCTTTACTGATGTGCCACAATAATATCACCTATGTCATTGAGTTAAAATATTAATATTGTGGCTTTCCAAGTTAATATTGATTGTAGGGGTGTAACGGTTCACAAACATTTCGGTTCGGTACGTGCCTCGGTTTTTAGGTCACGGTTCGGTACGTTTTCGGTACAGCAGAAAAAATTATCGCAAAACATTAAATATATATATATATTTGTTAATTATTATTAAACTGTGAATAATGTATTCAAATAAATACAAAATATAATAAAATAAACATTAAGGTGCAGCATTTCGATGAACTGAAATAATCTGTATTTGAACTTTACTGTACTAGTACTCACAAAACATAAACTATTAGTTTTGGGTTTTGAATTATTATTAAACTGTGAATATTCACTCAAATAAATACAAAATATAATAAAATAAACATTAAGGTGCAGCATTTCGATGAACTTAAATAATTTGTATTTGAACTGTACTGTACTAGTAAGCAGCCAGTTTGACATTAGGACTTGCTTGTCATTGTATTTTCATGTTTTTTTAAAGAGAAATGAACTTGTCCACATTGCTTGCCGAAAGGGCAGATCTGCTGGCACTAATAATGTCTCCTGCTGTGGAGAACACCCTCGCTAGGGACAGAGGTAGCAGATACAGCCAGGTAGCGCTTTGCTAACATGGCAACATAAGGATATTTGGCGTTTTTATTAGCTTTGGCTCGGTCTGAACTTTTTGCGAGTGGTGGAGGCTTGAATGCTAGTGGGAGTTGGGTTTGCACTTCAGTCTTTTTTCTTTTGGTACCGGTGATATTCACGTTCGGGTGATGCCTTTTCATATGAGTGTGCGAGTTTGATGTATTGCCAGCCGCGTAACCAATGTTAGTTAAACAATGCCGACAAACAGCTTTGGTTCGGTCCACCTGTCCGGTCCGTCATCCTTGTACGTAACTGTGAAACCAAAATGTTCCCAAACCGGAGACTTCAATGATGCTGGAGGATTTTCAGCTCAACTTTATCTGCGTTCGCCATTTCGACAGTTCCTCAAATTACTGACTACATTTGACGCATCCCTGTGACCAGCTCTCATAGTATGCCTCTCGTCCAATGAAATGACTTGGTCGCTCTATGATATATACCTGAGATTACTTCCAGAAAGTTGTTCATGTTCTCAATTTTTTACGTTTAACGCTATATTCGTTTGGTGTATCGTGTACACGTGTATCAAACCGAAGGGCCCGTACCGAATAATTTCAGTATGGGTACGTGTACCGTTACACCCCTAATTGATTGATATGATTGCGATTTAAATCAGCATATACTTCTGCCAGGGGATGCCACCCCTCAAAATCTCCTGCCACCCCATGAATATTTGTCTAGATCCACCCCTGTGTACAATAAAAGCCTTGAATCTTGAAAAAAGTTTTTAAAAGATTTACTTTACTTTAATAACATTTTGAGGGACTTATACTTTACTTAAGTATTTCAATGTTATGCTACTTTGTACTTTTAACTCACTACAATTCAGAGGCATATCGTGTACTTTTACTCCACTACCTGTATTTATTACCTTTAGTTACTTTGCAGATTTGGATAAATGATGTGAAATTTAAACAACACTTAAATGAAACTTAAGTTACACCCCAAGTCAAATTGTACAGCTACCCTGCAGTATACAAAGTAATTACTTGATTAACATTTTGAATGCAGGTATTTTACTTAAAGGGGACCTATCATGCAAAATGCACTTTTGTATGTCTTTTATAATATGTGTCCCCGGTGTGTCAGGGAACTCACGCAGCGTCAGAAAATAAAACCCTCTCTCTTCTCCTCCGTACCCAAATCTCTAAAAACGGGGGTACAACGGAGCTGATCCAGATTTGCGTCCGATATGACGTAATATTGGAAATGTGGACCCACGGCACTATCAGAAAGTTGCTATCAGAAACAATGCCCGACTGTTTTGGACGTAATATGGTCGGTGTTTACATTAGCATCGCTAACACTCAGAGCTAACCTGTACTGGAGAGATATGTGTGTGAAGAAGCTGGATATAAAAAGGAACTCACCTTGTGGTATAACCGGCAAGAGAGAAAGCCTTTGAGCTCCATACTGTTTCAGAAATAATCCTTGATAATCCATGATATGGCATTTCATCACGGCAGTATTTAGTTTAGACAGTAGCTGCCGGGTCCCGCATAAGCTCAGCCCATGGATGTATAATAAGAACTGGATACAGCGTGGGAGGCGGGGCCTCGTTTATTCCTATGAGAGTTGCTCATTGGCACATGAAGACAAAATGCCCCAACTTTTGAGAGAGCGAAACGTCATGAAAGTATTCATATAATCATATAATCCGTTCTTATTGTGCATCCATGGGTAAAGGTAAAACTCATGTAGTACTAAACACGTCACATGAACGTGCCGGGCGGCGCGGTCCCGTGGATTAGATCCGCGTTCATAATGCCGAGGAAAATAACTCAGAATAACGTTATTCGCACATTTTACAACTTGAGGACCGAATGTTTTTAATAAGGGCTATATTTTCCTCAGAGTCCGGCGCAGGACAATTTCCGTATCAGTCCGTGACGTCACTGGGCCCAGAAATACTTTTTCCCTTTGACTAACATTGGGAAAGAAACGTCTGTAAATCAGCGGATACTTTTTTTTAAACTAAATAAACTACCCAGTATGAACTATTTTATAGCCCTTATTATAATCATTAGGTCCTTAAAGTTGTAAAATGCATTAAATGCCAAATCTAGATGTATTTTCTGTCTCCATTCATTCTACTGAGCCCTTTTTATTATACATCCATGGGCTTTTTAAAAACGTTAGCCCAAAGTCAGCACTTTTGAAACAGGAAGTGAAATAGAGGGATATAAACAGGGCTGCACATAACTGGTGCGCATGCGCACCTCCGCCAAAAAAAGAGCACCGGGTCATTTGAAACAAAGCGCATTTGCGTACCAACATTGAGAGAGGGAGAGAGGGAGAGAGAGAGAAGGGAAAAGAGAAAAGAGAAAATATAGGATAGATGAGAGAGAGAGAAGAGAGAGAGAGAGAAAGATATTTGCGAGTTGCATATGAACCATGATATGAACTCAGGGCCGGCCCGTAGCACTGGCTAGATGTTCGCCTAGGGCGCCAGACCTGGGGAGGTGCTGCGCTGGCAGCTCTGGGAGGGAAAAAAACATTTTGACCGTTGGGGCTCATCCTAATTTTCGGCCTTGATGTAACAATATTCATAATTAAGTAAATGTAACACCCTTTTCACCGCGGTTACACGTTTCATTTGCCCTGTACGATGGGCGCTGTAAGTGATGAAAATGGGGGATGTTGGCTTATCTGGCGCTCACAGCCAAAATGCGAGGGAGAGAGGGAGGGTGCACCGGTACCAGCGCTGTTGTTATTAGAATCTGGTGCCGTGCTAGCGGCTCTAACGGATATAAGAAGAAGATGTTTCTACAATAATGTGGAGGGAGAGTCCTCTCCAGTCAGACTGAGAGGCTGATAAGTTAACTACAGCTCAGTGAGGTAAAGTACTCTGAGTGTTTAGATAGTTCACTTTAGTCTAAGTTCAAACGGTTTGGTCACAATTTATGTAAACACATATTTCCAAGGCACTCCTTTATAATTATTGGGATAAACAGGTTTGAAATCATTCCAATGTATACTATAGGACAGTAACCAAAAATATCCTTTAAAACTGGAGAGAGAAAAAAAAAAGCATAAATAAATAAATGTTAAGGTAAAATAAGATATGAATGAACAACACAAATAAAATTGGTTATTGGTTATGTTCACATACTTATTTGATTACATCCACTTGTCTAAGATGACAACAGAGACTTTCGACCCAAAACCAGCTGTTGACTTGTGGATGCAAGCAGCTAATTGCAGACTGAACCAGAGAGAAAGTAGTAGGCCTACATCATCAGCTACCATGTCTGACAGTCAGGAGGGTAGTGATGACAGCTTGTAGGATTACTGGTCGTGCTAATGTTGTCTTGTGTTCACCTCTGCATGTGTGTTCTGTGTTCACCTCTGCATGTGTGTTCTGTGTTCACATCTGCATGTGTGTTCAGTGCCGTGTGTCTGGCAAATAAAGTTCAGACCCCCTCAAAAGTTACGGTTTATTTCATTTTAAGGATGAGCACCAAGCAACATCTCCAGGTGCTCCTTTGAGAACCAGGGCAAAAAAGTTATGTGCACCCCTGGATATAAAGCATGGCTAGAATGGGTGATCTGTTTGGTATTTTGAGTAAAACACTTCATAGACATGTTTTTTATATGTTTTTATATATCTGAGACCTATGCTATTGCCTAGAAATAGCATGATAGGTGCACTTTAACAGAGTATACACTCTGGTACTTAATTACTAGTTACAAGATCTGAGTGTCTTCCACCTCTGAATATAAGCTATGACTTGCTATTTCTTCCACATTAGTTTCATATGATACCCACATGATGGCACCAAAGTCTGTTCATTGTTATTACCATGTGCTCACATTTAAATGAATCCCTTTAATGAAAGTGTAATCACTTGAAGAGAGTGATTCACTGTAACCGTCACTCTCATCACCAATAACTGCTGGGTGTGGATGTAGTTGACTCAATTGTGAGTAATTGATCTTGCATAGACAACAAACACATTCCCGCAAAGCATAAATCACGACTTCTTCCTCTGTGTTAAGTGACAAAATGACAATCGGGATTCTGTAGCAATGTTAAGTGAGGCTGAGACAAGAGAAATGCACAATATTCACTTGTGAACATATTGCCCTCTAAAAATACATGACCTCTTTGGAAATCTGTTAAAACCCGTGTGAGTGCAGCTTCACACTTTGCAAACGCAACAGAAACAAGTTTAAATAGGGATACATTTCTAAAGACTATTACTTAAATCCTTATAGCAGCTTTTCATTTCTTTATTTACATGTTTTATATATCATTCCAAGCTCCAAATATATGTGTAGGCGGTATTCAGAAAGTATACTTTAGACTAGTAATATGCAATGCCAAGACTTTTTTACACATGTCCTGCAGTATTGTCGTGTAAATATGTACGACTGTGCAGAATGGGCCCTTTCAGAGTGTTTGTTTCTCTATGTAATTATTGAATGATTGGTCTTGCATAAACATGTAAACAGCATTTTGATTTTCAGGTGGATGTTAGGACATGCAATTCAGTATAAAGCACATTAACTTTTCAGCAGTATTAAGTGTTCTTTTTAAATTAAAATATCTTGCTTTTCCCATTAATGAAAAATGTTTTTAGATATTTTACGGAAAATGTAAATATGGAAAAGTTCAATTGTAAATGTATGGGTAAAATAAATCTAGTGGAGCAAATATATAAATCTGAAAACATTCAAAGTACACAAGAAACAAGTACCTCAAAATGTTACTTTTTGCTTATTGACACACTACATTCTGCTTAAGGTCCATATGTGACATTCAGGACATGTCAGAACAACTTGATGAGAAAGTCCCGAGCTTTCACCTGTATTTGCTCACAGTTACACAGAAATACACCTCGCTTTACCACGAGTGTTTGTGAGCAGCTATGACTCAGAGCTGCTAACCGCTGCAGCATGAACACACATGATGAGTATGTGAGGAGATCACACTGTGACAGCCTGGTTCATCCAGTTATCTTAGTTTTGCAATAATGTGCCGGTTAGGTCCAAATGTTGCCTTTTTCATTTTTTTCATGCTCTTAAATGGCGACATACAAAACTACATTCAGAGGGTTTAGCATAAATCTGTCTTTGAGTTTCTTTATGTAATTGAATGATCTAATGTTCATGTTGTACAACACAATCCTCATCTTTCCTTATGTCACTCTTAGGCCGGTAGAGTTATGTTCAACTGAATTAAACAAGGTTCTAACAAGATTTTTAACACGATAAAACAAGCATACACAAATTAAATGTATGTCAAAAGGATATTCCCTTTTTGTATTTTACAGCATTACAGCATTTTATGTGGTAGGTAAATGGTAAGTAATGCACAATGTGTAATTGAGGAGTATACAAATGATGCAGGTTATGAAGATAGGAGCTTTGGAGAGAAACCAAGCCTATTTAAAAGGGTCAGAGGTCAACCTTTGCTACTAAGAAGGGGACAGGTTTGTGACTAGATTATTCTGGAAAACCCCTGATATTTCTTGCTCTTAAACCACCTGCTTTCTGTTTAGAAATAGAACGCTCCTACCAGTTAAAAAGATTCAATTAGTTTTGAGTCCACATGCCACTGTCATTTAAAGCAGTGATTCTCAAATGGGGGTACGCGGACCCCTAGGGGTACGTTGGGGTACTGCGTGAGATTTAAAAATACCAAATATAATCTTAGTACAATAAGTTAAATAGAAAACACAATTTTATATAAAATATTCCTAGAACCTCATATAAACATGTCAAATTGGTGTATTGTATTTTATAGTTTTGCATAATATATCATTTTGTTCATTGGTTTGTTAAACAGATATTACTTCAGTTGAAAAACTCCTTTGAAAAATCAGTTTACATTTTTTTTCTTTTTTCATGCAAAAAATGAAAATATCCTTAGTTTGTTGTAAAGGAGTTAATAAATCACACACTGAGGGAACATCACTATATTGGAATTATTTGTATAGGCTTTTTCGATCAAACATTTTCGGGGTCGGTCAGGGGGTACTTGGCTGAGAAAATGTTTCAAAGGGGTTACATGACTGAAAAAAGTTTGAGAAGCACTGATTTAAAGGAACAAAGTGTGGGAAATAATAAGATTAGCAGTATTGTTGCATTTTCTCCTGGTCACTGATTTAGTTGAGAGATCATTTAATTATCCTCCCTGAAGCGAAAGTCTGCACACTAACTGAAGCACCATCGTCTTCCCCACTTCAGACCAGACCGTGAGCCATGGGGGAGGAATGTAAGACCGATTATTAGCATGCAACTGTGATGAAACTGAATACCAGGCCCACATACGTAAGTGATTTATTATTGCACACTTTGTTGAAAAGCGAGTATGACGTCGAGTTTGACTTGACGTGACAGTCTCTGCTTAAACACAACACTGAGTAAGTACCTGGAACAAATGTAACCTTCAACACAAGCTCTGACTAATCAACTATATGGCACCATAAAGGAGTCACTAAGTAAGCTTCTTTGATTGATGTTTAAAGTATACACTGACAATTTAACGAGTATTTTTGAGTTGACATGCTTTAGATTTAACAACGGCTGCAGTGGCTGCCAGCTTGGGGGTGATGTAGGATATCTTTTCACATACCGGCATTGCTTTGAAAATTACAACCTTTCTTCCAAGTATGAAGTGATCATTTATGTCTGACATGACAGATAGGTGATGAGTGACTAAGGATAAATCCTTTCAGATTTCACACGTTCCTCTGTACCAGTTTTCAGCTTTGTTTCTACAGGTTTTATGTATCTTCCAAGCGATAGATTTATAGATGTTTTGTATACCTAATAACTGATTAAATCATTACTAAAGGTAAATAAAACTTGATATTTAGACATTTCTTCAGATTGTTGTTTCACATTTGAGCTAAATTAAAGCTTTCTGCTCAATTTGTTGTTCATAGATTTTGATTAAACCACCAGTACAATACTTATTAGGATTTTTTTGTATTTAACCATTTCGTTTTTCATCATACCAATGTCTAAAAAAAGTCTTTGCACAAAGGATTACTGTATACACTCAATTGAACGTTTTAATTGTAGAAATTTGAATTTAATTTGCTATGTAATTGTATATAATGATAAGTATTGCACTGTATATTTTTGATGTTACTTTCTCCAGCAAATTTATTTATTTTACTTGATGGTTTAACATGTAAAAAAAATGAAATGTTTGTGAAAGCGAAAGATAATTATCTTTGAATAAAAGGAAAATGTTAAATATTTTGTAAGCCTATGTCTGTAATCGTATTCTTTGCATGTGTTTGAAGGTGTTACCTGGTAGGGGAATAAAAGAAGCGTGAAGACATTCTCTTAATAAAACAGTAATTTATTTTTGACTGAAAACTAAATTTGTTTGAACAGCACATTACAAGGGCATTGTTAAGATATTTTCTCCAAGGCTCAGTGATCACTTTCATACAGTACACTTGGCATGTACACTGCATCTCCTTCAAATGAAAGGAAAAAATATATAAAGAGAAAAGAAATAAGCCAGTTTGCAAAAGAAACTAAAGGAAATCAAAGAGCACGTCCCATAGAAAGATGACTGATTGTATATTTACCAAGCATTTTGGTTTGGTTCTGAGCCAGAGAAAGAAACCGACTCGCCTGACGACAGAAGGCGACGGCACAGGAGGCACAAAAGACGTGACACGTACAGGACATCCCATAATGTGCTCACACACAATCAACTGCGTTCCAGCTTTAAAGTGTGAAATGTCCAATAGTTTCCATTGTTTCATTTTTTTGCGGATATTGTTGCTATTTTTTTTAATCTTTGTAAGCAAAGTGCACACTACAATCGAGATCTAAATGCTGCATTCATTAAATACATTAAAATCTGCAATGTAACAACCTTTTCTCTGCGTCTGCATAACAGCATTACCATGAACAAAACATGGCTCCTTTTCTGACTTACTCCACCCATTGTTCCCTTTCTCTTTCATAAATCCTTCCACAATCATTCACAGACTGACCGCTTGACATAAAATAAGAGTGCTGGATAAAACACGAGGTAAGAAAGTGGTTTGATTATAGATCATGCAGAACATGCAGAACGGCAGCAAAACAATGGAGGGAAGGAGAGTGTAGGAAAAAAAAAAGTGTGCATTTATATATATATAAAAAAAAAAAAAAAAAAGACTTGCACAGCTTTGCGTCTTTGGTTATAAAGTAGGTCGAACCATTTTTTCACAGCTTTTTATACCCAACCAAACCCTCAAATTATTTTTAGTTTTGACAAAGTCTAGAAAAAAAAGTAAATTAATAGTTTTCTTTATCGAAACATCCCATCACATCTTAACAACAGGTGTTCTCCTGTACAAACCCTCCTTGCTCTTAATACTTTATACTTTACAAAATATACATTCAAACCTGGATTTCACCTAATGTAAGCTCGGCTTTAGTGTTAGCACTATTTCATGAGAAATGTTCTATGATGGAAATTATTGCCTACTTATTGAGATGTACATGTTGCAAAAGACTACCCAATTCAATACCTGACAGATTCTAAAATACCAAAAAGAAAGGTTTTTTTGTTTGTTAATAAGTATCTCCAAGACATTGTTCATTTACATTATGAAAATAGCAGCCCTGAAATAAATAAATGCAAATACTAAAACTAAACTATGGAAAAAGTATAATGATTCATGTCAAAGTATGGTGGCTCTGAGAAAGCAACACAAGCTTTTGTTGCAGCATATAAGAAGCCAAGGCTCTCGACTCGACCCACTGAAGCCGAAGCACCCGTCGGCTTCCCCCCCCGCTCAGGGAGGACGAATCGTCTCCCCCGCTTCTCCGTCGGCTCTGTGGCCTCTTCCAGCCCATGAGTGATGTTTGGTTGGGGATACTGGAAGGACAGTCCCTGCTGGAGCCTCATCACTGCGCTGCACCGCCCTCTTCTATCACTTGTTGCCCCAACAAATCTCTCTCTGTGCCGTTTGACCCCATCCTCTTGCACAAGAACAGTATGCAGTTTTATGGTGTGCACCGCCTCCCCTGCTTCTTCTTCTTCTACAGCTTTGCAGGGATAGAATAAGACTTTAAGGGGTGGTTAATGTCTTAATAACGGGAAGCCCAGTGACGGCAAGGTGCACACATTGAAGCATGGCTCTTGGTGGCAAATAAAAGATGTTGCTGTTGTCGATTTTTACTCAAATGGAGCATATTGAACACAGAGGCGAGACTTTTGCCTTAATGAAGCTAAGGGGACGGCAGCAGTTGTTGTCATTTCTAACAGGATCTTCCACTCCTGTCCATGGGAGCTGTGTTAACTATAGGAGATTGGATCACGCCGAGGTGATGTTGGGCTGCTGAGGGATGCTCTGACTTGCATCGTGGTGCGCTAAGGGGTTGCTGTTGTTGTTGTTGTTTGTGACGAGCAGGTGTTGCTGCTGCAGGGGCGGCGACGTGCTGCCGGCGGCCGTGTTGAGCTGACTGGAGAGCTGGCCCAGCTGATCCGTGTTGGCCAGCGACTTCAGCACGGCGTTCTCCCGCTCCAACATCGAGTTCCTCTCGTACAGCTCCTTGATCTGCTCCTTCAACACCTCCACCTCCTCGCGAACAGCATACATCAGGTGGCTCTTCACCAAGTCCTGAAAGGGAGAGGGAGGATAAAAGGGGAACTACATTCAGCACACAATCATGCAGAGTTCATCCTCTAACAATGACATATCATAAATTAAAGTGGAAAAGTGTGATCTCTTTTTGGCAACATCTGTAGTGCTAAAATCTCTTTGTTACGTGGGGGAGGGGGGGGAATCACCTGTCAATCAAACTGGTGGCGAATTCTAAGTAATGTGTTGTATTTTTATAGACTATAGAAAGCTGGTTGTTCAGAACAGTAATTACAGAAGCTTTAGGAACCTAATACATGCTATAACAATAAATGTGCCACAGATGAGTTTTATGCGTATCGTTTAACGAGTCATCTAGAGATTGGCACAGAAACCAATCAAGTGAAACAGGTCACTGTTCAAGCTGTCAGACACAGTGCGTCACTTAAGCACATGTGTTGTAACTTTTACAGCTGTGTAAAACTCACCATTGCTTGTTCAATCTTGTTATCGATGGCAACAACGCTGGCACCGGATGCACTGTAGAGAGAAAGAGCGACAGTTATTACAAGATACCAATCTCATGTCTACCACAAACTTTAGATAGGCATCAGGTATTTTTCACATCCACCGACAGACATTATCTGTTCCATTGAGGGCCAAAGATGACCTCAGAGGATTTCACTGGGACTTCAGAAGGAAACAAATCACATTTCCTGATGAATGAATCAACCATCATATTTTTCCAGAGAATGAGGAACAGATTTGAGATTAAACTAAGAGATAAAAAAAAAAGTCATACTATTTTTCGTGCACTTTAAATAAGAATAACACACATTTAGAGACATGTGTGGTCTGAACGAAGTTCTTAAAATTGGCTAAAAGTAAAAAATAATTACATTTAAATACTGCTTCCCAACGTGGGACCTCCCGCCAACTCTTTCCGTACTGAAATGTCTGCATTTAGCCTTCACCCTGACACTATACATACACTATACATACATGAGAATATGGATATTGTTGTCGACAACAAAGAATCCCACCTGTTATATGACCAATGTGTAGTTGTGAGTCAATTGGCAACACACTCATTGGACAAGGTGTACATTTCCATTAACATTTTGGTACTTTCCATGTCATCTTTCATCAATAAAAACAGGTGTTCAACTCATGCAGTCAAGAGTGTGTCATGTATGAATCAGTGTAATTGCACATTGGAACAAATTAAATCCACACCTTTAACAAAAATACTTCCGTTTAGAAACGGAGCCTGATAACAATGCCGCTGGAGATTGTTGAAATATTGACTATTGACATTTCAGCGGTAAGCGGTGGTATCAGCTTGTATCTGTGGAGGACTCCTCCGCAGTGAAAGCAGATCCCAGACAGGCAGTGCGTCTCGTCTCCTGCAGGGCGTGTGTTTCGGGTGCGGCTGCTGTCTCCAGCCAGCGACCCGTTTATCACTTAAATCTCATTGTTCTCCAGTCAACACACACATTTTATCGTGTTTAAACTTTTAGCAAAATGTTACGCCTCTACGCCGCTGCATCCCGATCCCTTATCACGTTTCCTAAAACACACTTCAGAGCAGCGCAACATTATCCAGCCCCTCCCCCTATAGCGAGAGCAACAAAGACAAAACGCACTACTTCAGAAAAAAACTAAAGATTTTCAACTTACTGCCAAGCCAAAGATCAGCGTACAACAAAAGCGATGCACAGTTTCACCTTTAACCTCCCGGGGAGACAGAAAACACAAACTATGTTTATCCTTCTCTACAGATAAGGCTGTGGTAAACTGTTTCGATGGGAGGAAACTCGGAGACTGACGCGATCAGTCCGCTAGACGGAGCTCTGACCGAGGCTGGGACACCACAGGGAACATCAAGTGAAAACTGAGTTTATTTGTGATAAACCCATGGTATACCAAAGAGAAATAACCGCATTTTCACTATAACTAGTCAAAATGCAGAAAACGTGTTTCCTTAAATCAAGCCATCCTATACTCACAGACGGTATAACTGGGTACTATGAATATGGAGAAAACATGTCTCCGTGTCCGAAACATCCTTTATCCACAAACGTCATGGAAGGTGACAGGAAATAAATAAATAAAGTAAATATTCACTTTTTGTGACATTTATTTTAACGTACGAGATGACAAAAACACCCAACTGGGAAATTCGTCAAAACCATTTACTAACCCGAGAGAGTTATATATACATGTATAATATTATTCTATTAAATAGGTGAACATTGTTCCCAAAACATCACAAGGAGCTCCAAAATAGACTCGTGGGCAGCCCGGGGGGGGGGGGGAGCCTACGTGCGCCTCATCATGCACGCTGGAGTCTATTTTGGAGCTCCTTGTGATGTTTTGGGAACAATGTTCATCTATTTAATTGAATAATATTATAAATGTATATATAACTCACTCTGGGGTAGACCTGCATACCGAACAGATGATAGCAAAACACTCCAAATATGCGGGGCATAAAGCGAGAGCAGATTAGATTACAACCATGTCAGTTACATTGGTACAGGAGGAGTTTGCCACAACGTTTTCAGATTGAATAACTATTATATTGCTCAGACATCTAAATAACATACTCAAATATTTAAGGATAAACATAAGCAAACGCAGAGACCATAAGAAGTACAAAAAGACTGTTACTAGGAGATGACAGTAAACTAAAGCGATAGTACAACACTTTTATAAAGTCAGTTACCTGGCGCTCCTCGCTCGGTAAGGCACGAGCCTCCCTGAATATGTCGGTGAAGTTACCGGAGAGCAGGGTAGTCGGTAGTTCATTATGCAGCGCATGTTTTCTGTTTCTCCAAACTTTCTGTAAAACTGCTATACAACTCCACTGAGTGTCAACCATAGACTGGTGTCAACACACGAGTGCTTCTTGTTTGCATTGAGCAGAGTGTGTGTTATGATTACAACTTTGGCCAGTCACATGGCGCGAACACAAAAGGGGCGGAGTCCAGCCTCCCTCCTCCTTACATTTACTCACTTTTACTGATGGAAGACTCTAAACTAATGACAGTATTCAATGGTTCTGTCTGCCAGCAAATATACAGTGCAAGCCCAGACACACATGAGACTTTATTCAAAGGAAAAACGTTAGTTAAAAGGAGTGTGTTTAGCATACACTGGAATAAGTCTGGTTGTCTCTGTTTGTGTTATAGTTTAAACATGTCAAACCAGAGTTGGAAGCATTGGCAAACAAATGAGCAATTTAAAGTCCAACTTCATCTCACTAGCCTTTTATTTCAATAATGTTTTTCTACATGTTGACTGTTCAGTGCACTTTTAATGCATCTCTTTCCATGGTTATATAGACTAATTTATTCCCTTTTTTAAATGCATGTCACAAGAGTTTTACAGCCCAACCTGGATAAACCCACCAATTAAAGTCATAGGTTCAATAGTGTGTAGAGAAAAACTAGATGCAACACCAAATTCCCTTGAACAAAGCTAACAAGCAAAAAGCTTCAGTGTGGTCTTTGACTTGGATCTTAAGATTTAGGCTCATGCATCTTAGGAAATCTGCGTTATATCACCTGAAAATGTTGCTAAAGTGCAACCATTTCACTCAGTGATTGACACAGACGGATAAATGCACTCTTTTATATTGAGCTGGCTGGATTCTTGAACTGCTCTCTATCTGGTCTACCAAAAACAGACCCACTCCTGTTTTGAAGTCCATAGATTGGTTTCCTGTCAGTTTCCATGTCGATTTTTGAAATCTTTAACTGGTTTTCAAAGCTCTGGTTGTTAAAGCGGCCTGTAAGTCTCACATGCTTACAGTGTTTGGTCCTGTGCGGCCCCTCAGGTCTTCTGGCACCAGTACAGTATGTCACTTATTTCAAAGTGCAAGACTTAAAAATGTTGGCCAGTCAGCTTTTAGTTTTAATGCTCAGAGCTGCTGGAAGCATTGAAGCCTGGCCTTTACATGTTTTCTTTATTCATTTAAATCGTAATTAAAACTGTCATCCTATTTTATTGTATTTAAGTTCTATAATTGTATTCTATGTTATTGCTATTTATTATGTTCTTTATAATATACGCTGTTTTAGTATTTATAATGTTTAAAGGGTATAAATATGTTCTATTAAACTGTTGAATTGTTATTGTCTTTCCATTTGTTTTTTGCTTGCTAGTCATGCATGAGGCACTTTAAACCGTACTAACCTGTTTGAAAAATACACTTTGATTTATTGATTGCAAATAAACAGGAACAACAGATTGCGATGATTTCTATAGTCTTCTTTCTCTCTTGATAAATGCTTCCAACTCTGATTTGTCCACTGAGACAAATGTAACATTTGTGATATTGGGCTATATAAATAAACATTGATTGATTGATTGATTGATAAGAAGCAAAGAATGAAACATAAGGCTAATAAGATTTCAAAAATATCAGCTGGTTTGTCTATTGAATTCCTATTGTTTTAAAACTGGCATCTACATTTAGATGTGAATGTATAGCATGACACATTCACGTTGATCTGATGATAGCAACGTAAATGAATTGCATTCCACAACAAGCGACTTGCTGACAACACACCAAGGCGAACCTCCATTTGAACTCAGCATTTAACCAGTTGAGCCCCAAGCCTGTTTTTCAGGTCTCAGGCTCGAAAATGACATTCCCAGAACAAATGACTATATTTTCCCTTCTAAAAAGGAGTAAATTAATAATCTTTTTTCTCAAAGCAATGAAAAACCTGTGAGTTGGATGTAGAAGAGTCAGAATCAATATATATGTTTTTATTTTAAAGTAAATTCAGATTGAACATAGTAAAAACATGTAAATTATAGTTTCCGTCCAAAAAACCCCCCCATTACTTATAGTGAAAACCACCCTTGAATTATGGGATAGTAGACAAAAAGCTTTAGGAATCTAAACTATAACATATAATAAGTACCCTGTATCAAGATTGATGCAAAACAAGTTACATTTCACCTTTTTAGAGAGGTTTAGAAGAAAAAACCCACTTCTGGGGTCATTTGGGTGTATTTGCCATATCTCTGGAACCCATCGGTCGATTTTGGTGATTGACATCTCTTTTGAACCGTCAGAGCCAATAGAATCGAGGGGAAGTTTCTAAACTTTTTATCAGAAAAGAGCAAAGGTAAGACGTATTTGCCATTTTGGCGGGCCGGCTTCGAATCAGGGGGTAGCAAGTTCGAGTCCCACTGCAGTCAGCATGTCGTTGTGTCCCTGGGCAAGACACTTCATCCCAAATTGCTCCTGTGGGGATTGTCCATAGTACTGAATGTATGCAAGTCGCTTTGGATAAAAAAAGCATCTAACAAATGACATGTAATGTAATGTAATGTAAAGCCAAGTTGTGTGTTGTCTCGTTTTGCCTTCGCTGCCGCGAGTTTTGGTCGCACAGTGATGATACTTACACCATTGGAATCTGTGGAATCTCAGCTTTCATATGACATGTGTTATCAGGTTTGTGCAGATTCGATGAAGTATAAAATATTTCTACCGTGAGTTATGTGCCGAGTGCGTTAGCACT